GTAAGTTTTATGCCCAACATGGGGCTTGAACTCATGACCCAACAATGGGATCAATGACTCAACAATCTTGAACTTCTGCAGAGTCTTATGCTCTACAGACTGAGCCAGCCAGGTGCCCCAAGAATGAAATCCTCCATTTGCGAGAACACGGTTGGACCTAGAGGGTATAATCCTAAGTGAAATAAGTCAGAGAAAGACAAATATATGGTTTCCTTAATATGCAGAATCTAAAATGCAAAACAAATGACAAAAAGCAGACTCTTAAATGCAGAGAACAAACTTATCATTAGTTACCAGAGGAGGTGGAAAATGGGTGAAATAGATCAAGATAACCAAGTGGTATAAAAACTTAATAAATAAGTCATGCAGATGAGAAGTATAGCAAAGGGAATGCAGTCAATAATACTATAGGGTAAATAAGAAAAATAAAATACAGTCATATGTCAGAGATATTGTGGGTTTGGTTCAACACTACCATAATAGAGCAAATAATGCAAAAAGTCAAGTCGAGTACATTTTCTGGTTTCCCAATACATACAAAGTTATGTGTACACTATACTGTGGTCTATTAAGCATGCAATACATTATGTCTAAAAAAAGAATGCACCTTAGTTAAAAAATACTTTATTGTGGGGTACCTGGGTGGCTCAGTCAGTTTAGTATCTGACTCGTGATTTCAGCTCAGGTGATGATCTCAGTGTTGTGAGATCCAGCCCCACTGGGCATGGAACCTGCCTAGGATTGTCTCCCTCCCTTTCCTTCTGACCCTACTCCCCCTAAAAAAATATTTGTTTGCTTAAAAGAGCTAACCATCACCTGAGCTTTCAGCAAATCCTACCACAGATCACCGTAACAAATTAGGGAAAAAATTCAAATATCGTGAGAATTACAAAATGTGACACAAAGACACAGAGTGAGCAAATGCTGTTGGAAAAATGGTGCTTGACGCAGAGTTGACCCAAACCTTCAATTTGTTAATTTAATAAAAGCACTATCTGTGAAGCACAGTAAAGTGAAGTACGGTAAAAGGAGGAAAGTCTGTACTAAAAAAAATAAATACGTAAAGAGAAGGGAAGGATTAGGTGAAACAAGATCCTTGTAATGAGGGTAAGTGTTGAATCTGAATGACAGGGACATGGGAGTTTATGCTCCTATTTGTTCTATTTTTTTGTACCCTTTAAAATTGCCATAATAGAAAAAATTGTAAAACAGAAAAGCATGCACATTGTCTCTAACAGTTAGGTCTTGAGAATATGGTAATGTTGCAGAGAGAGGAAGAGACCCACATCAATACGGACACCCACAAACGGAGTGCAGCTCTTGAGTGTATGGAATGCTAAGCTTTCGAATGCACAGTGGACCCAAACCGTGGGCAAGGGAAAGCAATGGGGATGGAGCAACCTGCTTGCTCTGGGAGCCAGGACACATGAAGAACGACTGAAAGACCAGGACACATTTACTCCTAAAGGGAGAGAATTCAAGGGGAACAGACTGCTGTCCAACACCACAAGGCTGGTGAGAGGAAGGAGCCAAAGCGTCTGGCAGGCTGCGGGGTGATCAGTGAACGTCACTGGAAGGCAGAAAGGGACCTGAAGGATGGGGGCTTTCTCCTGCTGAGAGCCACCCCACTCTGTGGGGGCAACCGGCAAGGGTGCCTCAGGCAGGAGCTGGCTGGTCACTAGTAGAGAAGGCAGAGGGAGAGTGGTCTCTGATCATTGATCCAGAGGCTGAATGAGGATGCCTCCAGGGTGGGTCCCTGCCAACTCTGAGATCCCGTGCTACTCATGTGATCTCTGTGGTCCATCACTGCATTTGGCTGGCAAGGGAAGCACACGCTGGCTGCTCTGGGAAACTCTCCTATCTCAAGTTACTATCTTGAGTATTACTCAAGTGTTACACTCTTGTTAACTAAGCTAGTTACTATCTAGTGTTACTATCTTTTCTTAGTTTCATCACAAACTATTACCAAGTGCCATTTTAGGTCGTACTGTGATATATGCTCTTCAAAGGGAAAACTGTTCTATGAATTGGAGGTCCCTAAGGTGACTTAGAAATCACCCATGTGTATTTTGCCATGAAAAGTGCTCAGTTAAATACTTGCTGAATGAAGAATGACTGAATGAGCAGTGACCAACTAAACGGTATTAAACAGCAAGATGACAGTTTATAAATGGTCCTCAGTTAAGTGAGAGCCATCACTCATCACATTTAATTAGAGTCTGTAGAAGGGCTGGGACTTTAGTGGAGCCAAGAGCAGGAACTTGACACAAAAGATATTCTTTGGGTTGGGATTTGGAAAGAGAGGAAAAAATACAAAAAAATACAAACTTTCAAGCTGTACTTGGGATGCACAGAGAACAGATTTGGTATTAACGTTATTTCAGATGCCCCGAATAAAGCTGCTAGCTAATAAATCATTTCTAATCACCAATCGTTACTGATCTTGGAACTGGCAAATAGCCCCGGGAGACAGTTTTCTTGTATTTTAGCATTTAGTGTGACTTTATTTTTCAGCATCGGTAATACATTCAGGTCACCTGGCCAAGCTACGGGAGCTCGACCTGAGCTATAATGACGGCATCTGTAATGCAGGATGGGCCATCTTCTGCCAAAATGTGTGGTTCCTCAAAGAGCTAACTGAGCTGGATATTAGCCTTCGGCCATCAATTTCTCGAGATTGTGGACAATGGTTTGGACACTTGTTAAAGGCTATCACCAAACTTTCCGAGATCACGGAGATAGGAATGAGAAGATGGATCCTCCTCACTTCACAGGAGGAAGAACTAGAACATTTTTACCAAGATCACAGACACAGCATTCACTTTGACCTCGGTGAGTTTCAGGAAGCTGATTTCCCAAGGCTTAACTAAGCTATAAACCATTATCTGGAGGAGGAAAAGAGCATGAATGAATCTTAGTGTAATCAAAGGAGTATCAGCTTCTGGGCTGTTTAATGGGATTGATGTTAATGAAAGTTGTGTAAATATGTATATGGTAATCTAATGAAAGTAAATCTAATTTACTTTCCAATGGCAAAGATTATGTGTTTCCATGGAGTTTCATTTATTCCAGACATATAGTTCACTTAGTGTTTAGAAGGCCTGCCAAAAATGTTTAGAATCTGGTAATACCTTTTTTTCTTGACCTAGAATTTTCTCTGTCTTCTTTACCCATATGATAAATGTTCTAAATACAAGTACGTGTGTGTGTATGTGTAAGTGTGTGCGTGAAATTCTAATGTGAAAGGCACTAGCTATGATAGTTTCATGCTATCTTTACTATTATATGTGTCTTAATGTAATCTATTTGCATTTTTGTCAGAAAGTATACTCTTCCCTGGTTTATTATTTTATGTTCTGGTGCTTTTTATCTCAGATATAAACCATGAACACTAATAATGGTCACAGACATATAAATCTTAGTAAAAAGTGGTCAAAACTTTGAAACCCAGTATCAAAAACACATCTTAATAAAATAAAGTAAAACCTTTTATTGCTAAAATAAAATAACATTAGCTCTGGGCACTTTTTGGTATGGACTATTCTATGTAAAATCTATTTAATTTGTTAATTAAAGTTTTTGTCTTGATCTAAATGATTTTTGAAATTTTTGGTTATTTTTTTGCAGGAGCATGAAACCCATTACACAGCAGAAGTGTTTGTCTGCTTACACATTTCTATTCTGATACACTCTAAGCAAATTATGCTTGGTTTCTTGTTGCTACACTAGTAATTTATATTGCAATTATTGCTTGAAGAACATGTAGAATTTGAAATCAATATTACTCCATAAGGAACTCATCAGGAACGAGGAGACTTTGGGTAGTAGAGATGGGGATGTTTTAGGCAATTGTGGTATTCTTCATTCTCTGGACATTTCCATGAATCCCATGAGCACCTGTGCTCATGTATTTCCGTGAACATATGCAAAACCTATGTACAACTAGCCCAAAACTGGAAACAGACCAATATCCTTCAAAGGGTGAATAGTTAGAAAAACTATGGTACTAGGCGATACCACTCAGCAGTAAATTGATTCCTGCAACGATGTGGATGGACTTTGACTTACGCAGAGTGAAAAAGCCAATCCCCAAGTGTTACGCACTATGTGATTCCATTTACATGACATCCTTGAAATAAAACTGTACAGCTGAAGACAGGGTTAGGGATCCGGAGATGGGGTGAACGGTAAGTGTGACTCAAAGGAATAACACCCCGGAGATTTGTGGTGATGGCTACGTAAAGCTTACATGTGACATAACGACACTGAACTACACACATATACACATGCACACACACAAGTTTCCTACAACCCATAGAATCTGAATAAGCTCAGTTTATGGCACCAATATCAGTTTTCTGGTTTTGGTATCCTATTAGAGTTATGCAGGATGTCAACACTGAGGGAGGGTGAAGGGTGCGTGGACCTCCCTGCCCATTTCTTTGGAACTTCCTGTAAGTCTCTATTTCAAAATTAAAAGTTTTAGGGCTGCCTGGCTGGCTCAGTCCAAAGCGTATCCGACTCTTGATCTCAGGGTCATGAGTTTGAGCCCCATGTTGGAGGTAAAGATTACTTAAATAAATAAACTTAAAAAGTTTTTTTTAAAATAGACAGGATCGTACAATGAACCTCCATTTACCTATCACATGCATGTACAATTAACAAGTTAATGCCAATCCTGTTTCATTGGGATCCCCCACACTTACCTCTCCCTGATATTATTCTGGGGCAGTTCCCAGGCATCGTATCATTTCATCCATAAATATTTCAATAAAGTGAGAACCTTTATTTTTCACATAGTCATGTTTCTATGAATAATTTTAGTGTGGTAGGCCATCTAATTCCTACACATGTTGCTTTCTTAATCCAACAGAGTTCATTACCTCAATTCGTTACAGAATTATTTCCTGTTTTTCTTTGCAGTTTTTCCTTTTACATCCTTTTTTCCTTTCTTATCTTTTGGAGAATTCTTTCCTTTCTTCAGCACTTTTTGCAGTTCTTCAAACCTCCCCAATCCTTTCCGGACCATTATTCCACGCCACCATGCCTGAATCTGAAAACAAGATAAACCCAGAAAGCATCAGCTGGTATCACTCGAGATAGGGATGGTTATCTCTTCATTCTGGTACGTAGTTTTAAAGATGTGAAGAATGGAATGTCATTAGAACTCCACACCTCATTTTCTCTTTCAATCGGCCATTCTGGCAAATGTAAAAACAACAACAACAACAACAACAGCAAATCAGTGCTTTTATGTCCCAGGCACTGCTGTAGACATTCAGGGAACAGCAGTTAAATGCCAATGTCCCAGACCTCACATTGCAGCGAGAAAAGACAATAAACACAGGAATGTATGATTATTGCAGCGAGAAGAGACAATAAACACAGGAATGTATGATTTCATAGATGACAGTAAACGCCACAGAGACAACAGTGCACAGTACGGGGAGTCAGGAGGGCCTGCATCCGCCCTCCCTCTCCTCACTGGACTGCCGGGCTCCTGCCTACAGTCAGCCCCATTCCTTCCAAGGTCCTGTGCCCTCCCACCTACTCAGAAACATCCCCCCCAGCAGTAGGCTCTGAAACTCCCCGGACCTCCCCACTTCTCCCAGAATAGAAGCTCAAGTCCTTACAATGGGCTTACAAGGGCCTCTCGGATCTGCTCCCTTCCTCTTTTTTTTTTTTTTTTTTTAAGATTTTTATTTATTTGACAGAGATCACAAGTAGGCAGAGAGGCAGGCAGAGACAGAGGAGGAAGCAGGCTCCCCGCCGAGCAGAGAGCCCAATGTGCGGCTCGATCCCAGAACTCTAGGATCATGACCTGAGCCGAAGGCAGAGGCTTTAACCCACTGAGCCACCCAGATGCCCCTACTCCCTTCCTCTTAACTGAAAGGACCTCTCTCCTTCCCCTTGCTCACTCTGCTCTGGCTGTCAGGCCGGCTCACAGCCACACCCCACACAAACCCACCTCCCAGCTCTTGCTTTTGCGGCTGCTTCTGCCTGGAAAGCTCTTTCCAATACTCAGATGGCTTAACCTCCAGTTCTCCAAGTATTTCCTCAATTGTCATGGCTGTGGACTGAACTGTCTCTCCCCATCCCCAGCTCATATTGAAAGTCCTAACCCCCAATGTCATTGTCTTTGGAGGTGGGCCCTTCGGAGGTAATTAGGCTTGGATGTGGTCATTATGGGGTCTTCATAACGCGATTAATGCTCTTATGAGAGACAACACACAACTTAGTCTTCTCTCTGTCTCATGTGGGCACAGCAAGAAGACAGCCACGTGTAAGGAGGAAGGAGGGCTCTCACCAGTGACCGACCACACTGGCCCCCTAATCCTAGACTTCTCACCCCTAGCACTGTGAGAAAATGTCTGTTGTTTGAGCCATCCAGTGTATGGTATATTGTTATGATAGCCAGAGCTGACTAAGACAGTCATTTTTCCAATGAGGCCTGCTCTGACCATCTCATTTAAATCGAACCCCCCCCAACCCCCGCCAGCCCACTCAACACACACACATGACTTCTGGCAACCTCAGTTCCCCTTAGCTTGAGCTTTTTCCAATGCCACATATCACTTTCTAATAGATTGTATAATTTTCTGTTTTATATTTCATGTTTTTATTTCCACGATACTAGACTTTAAGCAATATGAGGACAGAAAAATTTGTTTTGTTCACTGATGTATTTCCAGTGCCTGGCACCTAGCAGAAGCTCGGTAAGTATTTGCTAAATGAATGAATGAGGTGGGTGGGGAATGCTGTTCTATATAAGATGGATCAAGGGCAGATATGAGGATATTTGAGCAAGGACTGAACTAAGTGAGGGCCGGGGTCTTGTCCATATCCGGGAGACACATCTCTGGGCAGAGGGAGGAGCAGGCTTGGACTTTGGGAAAACACCAAGAATCTGTCTGTGACGTGAAAATGGGATGGAGGATATGGGAGAGTGAGAGCAGCCACACAGGAGTTCAGGGGGTGATTTTCCAGGGGAACAGTATCGCCCTCTAGAGGCATTCTAGGCATTTTCCAGGCTTTTTGATGTGTTGGGGTTTAGCCATCTTCAATGGTCTGACACATGCCCCAGGGCACAAAGACTTTCCCAGGGTGTGAACGCTTGGATAGTACGGAGGCAATCCATTTCCAAAGCTTCAACTTCCACCCCTGCCCACAATGTATCTGCCTAGGAACCAGGCTGCCGGTTCTCCATTCCCACCCTGCTTCCTGGCTGCCCCTCTGGCACAACTCTCAGCCACCCGAATCTGACTGGGGTGTGTGGCCCTGGACTCCAAAGACCTCTGGGACACCACAAAAACCAGACAATATAAAATAGTAGTATCGGAAAAACAAAACATACAAACAAACAATGATAACATAAAACAGACTCTTACAAAGAACTGTTGGTTGTGGTGGGGAGGGATGGTTAGATGAGTGGAAGAGCTGATGGGGTGAAGAAGTACAAACTTCCAGTTATAAAGGAAGTTATGGAGATGAAAAGTACAGCGTACGGGAACATAGTCAACAATATTGTAATAATGTCGTATGGTGACAGATGGGGACTACACTTGGGGTAAGCGTTGTGCAATGCACAGAATTCTCAAGTCAGTATGTTATGCACCTGAAACTAATATAACATTGTATGTCAATTATATTTCAATAATAAAAGACTAGCAGTATTGATGTTGGCCCTAGGGACTAAGTAAGCAATTCTTTTGTAAGGCAAATGGTTCCCAGCTCTTTGCCTTCAAGAAAATTGAAAGACAAGTTGATTTGCCAGCCAGGAGCTCACTATCTGATTTTTGGGGATATAAATCTGGAAGAAGGTCAGAGATGTGTGAAGCATTACCATTTAAAATGAAATAATATAGGCACACACACACACAAAAACTTCTTCCATTCTTGTAACTAATCTATGTAAATAAGGTTTCTCGGCGTTTCATCTGTAAAATGAAAAATAGGAATAGAACCGATGTCAACCCTGTCTCATTCCAGCAATAACTAACAATTATACAGGGATATATAAACTATATCGGAGAAGTCTCACATTTGTGTATGTATTTTCCCCAAATCCTCTAGGTCAAATAATTAAATACCAAAATTTGTAATGGATTTTATAGTGTTTTGGTCAATTTTATACCACTAATAATTGTAATATGACTTAATCGGGACTTTAAAAACCCTATGGTCAAATAAAAAATTTTTAATTTTAAAACTTAATTAGTATAAATATTTGTGCTGCCTAAAAGTATGAAAGGGGATCTGTAAATGACTTAAAGTTATAGATATAAAACATTAAGCTCAATTCTTAAGGGAAAGTGAAATAAAAATACATGTTCAAGAAGAAAAAGAAAGGATATAAAATTTCTGCCTATGGGACACCTGGGTGGCTCAAGCCTGACTGGGGGTTTTGGCTCAGGTCACCATCTCATGGGTTGTGGGACTGAGCCCAGCCACTGGTTCTGGGCTCGGAACCCAGCATGGAGTCTGCTGAAGAGATTCTTTCTCCCTCTTCCTCTGCCCCACCCCCACTCAGTGCGCATGTACATGCGTGCACTTTTGTGTGTGTGTGTGTGTGTGTGTGTGTGTGTGTGTGTGTGTATGCACACGCGCACACGCACGATCCTAAAAAAAATTTCTGGCTATAGGAGCTTGCTCGTGAATTTTGTAAATTGATGTGACTGACATATCAAATCATAATGGTATTTAGATTCCACTGGGTATGTTTAAAATACTGATCTAAGAGCTCTATTTTAAGATGTCAATATTTAAAACTTGCTGAAAAGTAAATCCTTTGCAATAATTTAAACTTAGTGGCAAAAGAATTTAAACATCAATTTCAAAATGTGCAAGAGGGTACATGGTTTTTCAAAACACTTTTGGGAAGTATCCAAAAAGTATTATATTCATTCTTCCAGTGTAGCCACTCTTGAGTATATACATATTAAAATAAATATTTTAATATAAATTATTTTCCTTTCTTCTTTATGTTGCAGCTCAGGCATTATTTTCATTTGTCAAAATTAAAGGTTTTGGTAGGTTATATTATCTGAGTTAAATTTCAGAAGAGTAAAGAAGGTATCACATACTATTTAGCATAAAAGAAAGGGTGTTAGGTTTGATATGGTTGAGGGCCATTGCCAGAAGAGGGTCTTACAAAGTAAAGACTGACTCTTGCTTCAGGTGAAAAAGAGAATCATGGACTTCAGTAGAGTAGTGATAAGATCTCACCTGTGTTTTAACAGCACTGGTCTGACAACTGAGCGGAAGGTATACTGTAAGGGAAGCAGGTGTGAAAGTGGGGATACTAGTTGGAGGACTAGGGTGGTCATCAAGGTGTGAGACAATGGGGGCTTGGATCAAATGCATAATGTATACTGAATCCTGACGGACGTGGACACAGGCCTGGCCTAGCCGGGGGTAGCCTATTATCTCCATGGGCTAGGGGGGCAAGGAGGAGATGACAACGTCCTTTGACCCCGTCACTCTCATTCCCTCATCCCCCACTTTAAAGGCTCTTTGCCCTTTGATCCAGAGCAGAACTCTGGTCCCCACAGCCCTGCTCCACAAATACTTTCATTTCTAATTTTTCAGCCTTATCTTAGCAACTTTGTGAATATAAGCTTTTCAGTCCAGTGAACAGTCCAAGAATTTTAGACTGCTTTGGGATTGGAAGTTTGGGTTTCTTTCACCTCTTTGCTGTCTTCTTAACTGGCAAAGAGATGAAGAACGAAAATGCAAAAATGCCAAGAAGATGTTCAAAGATCCTCTTGCTTAATTCTGAGGATATAAAGGAAATAAGAGGGTTTACTCTTGACGAGGACAAGGTATAGATGAGTAAAGAGCAGCCCCGGCACAGTCTGTAATATCTTTACCACTGGCCCTTCTCCAAAGCAGCTGTGAATGTGCTATCCAGAATTTTTTTTACCTTTGTTGCCATTATCTTCATTTTTCTTTTTTTCTTAAAGTGTGCCCATATAGCCTGGATGCCTTCAGTATACACTTCTTTTGGGGGGTCCTCTAGGGGGTTGTCCACCAGTGTCAAAACCTTTAGATTCACTAGATTATCCAAATTCTCTGGAAGACAGGTGATCAAGTTGTCCTCAAGCAGTAATTCTTTCAAAGCTGAAACAATTTGTTTTTAATGACAGATTTGTCTTAAGAAGAGGCAAAGTCAACCCGTGCATTCTTTAGTCCAGTTACTTTGAAATGTGTGTCTCCTGCTGTGTCATGTAACAAAAGACACATTTAATGAGGCAAACCAAGTTCTCTTCCTTATAACAATTCAAAGTTGTTAGAGCCAGTGTATATAAGTATGAGAGACAGAAATAGTACACACGAAAAAAATGTGACCATGTTTCAGTCCTCCAGGGACCAAGGACAGGATGAAAATGCAGGGTCAGGTGCATTACTAAGGAGTACTGCATGCTCATCCCTGACTTTAATCTATGGCAAAAAACATTTTTTTAATTTGGTCCCACGAAAAGCTCAGCAAAAGGCTGTTAAATGGATGGATAAATTGACACACGTACAAATAAAGAATGATTTAGCCTAGCATGAAATGTTTGGGTGTTTAAATATGGGTCATAACTGATTCTTCATGCCAGTCATACAGCTCCAAAAGTCCTTCCTTGCTGATTTCACCACTCTGGGTCAACACTTTTCCTTTTATTCAAGTGACTTAGTGACCTAAGGCAAACTCCAAATTCTGGCATGTAGTAGGTAGGCAATAAAGTATGGTCGTTGGTATGATGACTATATGGACGAATGCTAATTTTCTTAGCCATTGCTATTTACTTCTCTATTCAGTTCCCAATAAACAACCTAACTGCCTTTGTGAGGTTCTTAGCTGTACTAATCAGGAACCTGGCCTTCCCTGTCTGGCTAGGGAGACTTGGGAGGAGGTAATGGGGTCAGGCTAAGCTCTCTAAATTGAGATTGGTCTTTAGTGAATGGAGGAAATGGGAAATGCATCATCATGGGACATGCTGGCCTCACAGTCCACCAGGCTGGGGATCTACCAAGACTCCTCACCTTGTGCCTGGCAAATGGAATCCGGAAGTTGTTTAAGGCGGTTGTGACGGCAGTCGAGAATTTCCAGGTTAGGCATTGATCCCAAGGATGTAGGCAGGTACTCCAGATGATTGTTCTCTATATACAGCTCTTTAAGACTCTGAAAAACATGAGAGTAGACCATGATGATCCTTACACTGATAAAAGAATGAAAATAACCACAATCACTGGAGAGTTCCCATACTCTTTCAATGGGGGAAACTCTGCATTGGGATCAAGGGAAAAACATACTTATTTAAAGAACCATCACCAAAACATAAAATTATTTTTGAGTAAAACCATTAAACATGGTTCCCAGTTTTGCAGGGAATCTAGTGTTTGTTTCGCATGAACTTTATGGAGAGATAGTTGTGATAATTTAACTATATATATCATTTGCTTCCTTTCAACAGCTAATTATCTGCAGCAGTTGATAACAAACTGAAATTGTGTCAAGTATCAATCTAACATTGCCCAGGTTTGAAGTAGCCAAATGTGCAGGTAATGAGTTAGCTATTTTCAAATCCTCTGAGCAAAAATGTAATGTTTGCATCTCATCCGAAGATTTCAAGGAGTGTTATGCGGCCTGTCAAGGAGCCAGATGATGAGAATTCTGAACACAGGACAAAGTAATGGAGAATCAGGAACAGGACCTCCGTGTCACAGGTGAGAAGTACCCGGGCTACACACACTGTCATTCAGGTCCAGGATGGGAGGTCATGTTGTGGCCCGCATCTACTTTATCCTTAGTAAGAGTGCAGTACCACAAACATGGAAAAAAATTCTCAATTCTTTATGCATACATTAAGACACAGGGCAAGGCTACCTTGAATGAAGTTACCTTGTTGCTTTGTCAGGATTTAGCACAGGGCTGCGGACCCATCTCCACAGGAACCCGGGACAATGTTAATATACCGATTGGCCTGCCACCATGGAGGGAGGGAGGTCACCTTGACCCATCCAAAATGCAGGCACCTACCCATGTCACCTGTATGACACTTTAACTTAAAATAGTGCAATTTTCAGGGGCCTCTTACAACAATGTAGTAATCAAATGGAAAGTGGAATTGCTCAATTTCTGCAAATAAAACATGCCAAATAGCACAGTGGAGAGGAGTATGGCATGGCATAACTTCTTGGCTATGTTCTTTGAGGATGAACCCAGCAGCTCAGGAAAACAGTGTTAGAGTGACTACTTGTTCACGGTTGGAAATCTAGTCGGGATGATTCCACAGGCAGCCTACGGGGGGACACCACCATATTTTCTCAGTCTCAGCCAACTTAAGGAATCAGGGGGCACGAACTGCTTTGCCTACTCGTCTGGGGAGGAGGCTTACCTGTAGTTTACTAATGTGTTCTGGCAAAGAGGTGAACTTGGCTCCTTGGTCTTGCCCGATGCATAATTTCTCTAAAGACTCTAAAGAAAGGATTTCTTCTGGAAATGAAAGGAACTGATTTCCTGTTAACCCAAGCATCTTCAGCTTTGAAAGTGAGCCGAAGTCTGGCGGTAACTAGAAGTATTCCAAAAAGGTAAGTTTCACGTCAAGATTATTTTAAACAGTAAGATAATAAATGGGGTTTTTAGTTTTGAGGCCCATTGATAAACATAAAGCAGAGCAATTTAGCAATTCCTGCTGATGAAAAGTTGGCACACGTGTCTGCATATAGAGTATATATATTGTAGATCTAATGTCTGGAGTCCCACTCTTTCCCTGAGCCTCTCTGCTCCTCACTTTTAGGCACTGCTTGAAATTGAAGCAATTTTTAACCTACTTTATTGCAAATTTTTGAACTGTAATGTAGCTTGACACTCCTGAAAAAGTACTGAAGTTTTTAGTGTAATATTGCAACTATAATCTGAATAAGTTCAGTTATTAGATCTGATTAGTTGAGGAACATGACCTCTCATCCTGAAAGGCTTTAAGTCAGCAATTTAGAAACTTCAGCTGAGATCTCAGTGGGGGGTACCTGGGGGCTCAGTTGGTTAAGTGTCTGCTTTTAGCTCAGGTCATGATCCCAGAGTCCTGGGATGGAGTCCCATGTCAGGCTCCCTGCTCAGTGGGGAGTCTGCTTCTCCCTCTCCCTCTGCCCCTCCCCTGCTCCTTCTCTCTCTCTCTCTCTCTTATTCTCTCCCTCTCAAATAAATAAATAAAATCTTTAAAAAAAAAAAAAAAGAAATCTCAGTTGGAAGCAAACAAAGACTGTCGAGTTTTTATCTTGTCATATTCTGCCCTCCATGAACACCAAGGCTTATGTGCCCTTTGTAGGTATTGGGTAGCCATTTTCCAGACTCCCAGACTGTCAGGCTTGGAAGGCCTTCCAAAGGTCATCTATTCCAATCCTTTAATAGGATGGTTGAATATATTTCACAGCTAGCCATCCAGCATACATTCAAACACCACCTCCTGGAATGAAAAACTCATTACTTGGATGGAAACCTCTAATCATCAGATTTCCTTCTCCTGTCAAGCCAAAATTTGTGTCACTATTATGTTCACTTATTGGTCTCTTTCTGGCCCCCTGGAACCACATGGAAAAATCTCATTCTTAAAATGTGACAGTCTCCCTATTGATTACATTACAGAGACACCTACTTTCTTGTAGGAAAAAAAAGCCCAGCTATATATATCAACAGCTTTCTTCACTCACTTTGAACCACCTTCATCTGGCTTTACTCCTAATGGGAAATCATTCCCCACATTTGACTGTCCTGAGCCCTGGTTTCTCCCCACCCCCCATTCCTCTCTTCTTCATGAGAATGGTTACAGTTCAAGTCAGCCTGCTCTCTCCATAGATGGGGAGACAGATAAATAATTGGGAAGTAGGTCAAAAGAAAGCCTTGTTATGTCCAAGTTTTCGTGTCCGAGAGACCACCAAGGAGCCAAGTACCAATGCAATCACATGAGGGTTTATTTGACAAGCTTGGACCCGACACAGCGGAGTAGGGACTTGGACCCCGAACCAGATTACAGTCAGAATTTTTAAAGGCAGAGTAGAGGTGGACTCGGTGGTGGGTGAGGACAAAGGGGATTATGGATGATGTAAGTCTCCAAGGATTTTTGGGAGCAAGGTCTCCAGGACCTTGAGGGGCTAGCTATTGTTGGGAGAAAGGTTATTTATTACCAATAATAAAAATCTTCTCATGAGACCCTTTAGATGTATATCAGTGGGCCATATGCTTGGGAATGACTCTCAACACTATCTTGGAGGTTTAGAGATAAAGGAATTGTTAAAGTAGACTTACAGGATCCTGGTTGGACCTGTTGGGGTAGGGGGTTGGTCAGGCTAGGATTGTCCTTAGCAAAACCTCAAGGTGAGGACAGTTAAGTCCCCAGGGGAGAGCCACTCTGTCTGTTTCAAGGGCTTGTCAGTAGGTGAGGAATTTTAATGATTTTCTTCTGCCTCTGTTTCCCACATCAGCTAAACTTGAGGTGGGATGGCCTTAATTTTCTCGGCCTCCACATTTCCCCCTGAACAATTTTAACCCTTAAATCTTTAAGGTTGTTGAAGGTGGAAGGCTTCATCTTCTGTAACTTCTTCCTGCTGAATAGGGGCATAGAGTTGTCCCTACCTACTCGGGTCAACACTGGTCAGTTGGGGAATGTGTAGGGGAGTAATGAAAGACAGAGGCAGCTGAGTCCAGGGGTTTAAATCAATCATTAAAGGAGAGAGGGACTGTTTAAAGTACTAATCTGAGTAGGTCAGAACCCAAGAGATATTTTGCAATAATCTGGAACATCAAGATGGCTGCACTTATGTCAAGGCTAGACTCGAGGCGGGTACAGCCTTGTTTTTCTTGGTCTCCACAGCCTCTAGGAGGATAATATAGTAAGTCTCACACACCTGCAATCTTTTATATTTTTCTCTTTATTGTGTAGGGTGAGCGCTCATTTCCCTAAAAATGCTATAAAATGTTCATAGTTTTATTTATTTTTCAATCAGAGGAAGTCAATCTCCAGAGAAACTGCTGTTTAAGCTTTCCTTCTTGGCTGTTTCAAGATTCTTCATCAGGCACTTAGATCCCTTTAATACAAAGCATCTGCATCAATGCAGTTCAAAATAATAGGAAAAGGGTTTTCAATCTAGTCCCTTCATTATAGCCTAGTAATGTCCCTCTTACTGCTGTTCAGTTAGCTCATAGGTTTAGTTTTTCTTTTTCAAAGCACATTGAATGTTTAAAGATTTTTTTTAACATATTCAAGATCCAATAATTAATCCCGTCACAGTCACATTAAAGTGTAGTGGGAATAAATCTGCATGTACAGAAAACCTATGGAGTGTCAAATGAGGACAATCATTAGGGATGCTCTAACCAAGCTTTTGTCATTTTGACGTTGAGTTGTCCCTTCACAGAAGATGGACCATACAAATAAAATCCATCTAGATACACACTGAAAGTCAGCTACTTTTGCATCCACCTAGACAAGAAAAAGCTACTGGCCAGGCTCCAAGAGCAAGCAACCCATCAGGAAAGTCTTTGGGGGAGGAGAGGTAAGCAGCTGGCTTAAAAGTCATGTGTCATTTTACAGAGAAATGCACTGGGAGGGTAAGTACTGGAGGGATTAGCATAATAGGAAATGAGAGAAGACCAAAAACCACAGAAATACCATCATAAGAACTGAAGAATAACAAGCAATGGGACACAGAGATTTTCACCTTCAATATGACAATATTGAACACATCCACATTTCAGCCATCTTGACTTGAGGTAAAACATGGTGTCGGTTGAGGCTTATGTTTGTTAAGGTGCTGTCAGTGTGTGATTCCCTCTTCTATTCTGATCTCTGAAAATGTTTCCCAGGAAAGGATTAGGTATCATTCAGGACTCAGTGGGAATTAAGTCAGTGGGTTATACTTCCCAAGGGTACTTCATACGTTGAGCCTTTCACTCCCACGTAGAACTGGACAGACTTTTTCCACTGTAAAAGGAATTTCTTACCTCAGTGTTGGAATAGCTGGGGGGGGGGGGGCAGATGGCCTCTGAAAAACCTCTAAAATCCTCCAAAGTGGGTTGCTACCTAAATAGAGATTAAGCCCTAGATTCTCTTCCTAAATCCTAAATTAGCATCAGAATTGTTACTTCCTGAAGGGCTGTTTTAAAACTGCAGCAACTAGGAAAAACAACAACAGCACTCCCCACAAAGTTCTAAATTAAAAAGCGAGTAAGAGATTAAACAAAAACACCCCCAACAAACCCTTAAGGCCTAGGACTAGGATAAAGTATGGTGAGCACAGGAGATCTGTGCCCATGGCCAGGAAAAGCAGACCTATTACTTGATACAGTCGTGGATTTCCAAATCTCTTGCTTTCTCCCTCTACAGTTGTAGCAGAACTCACTGTTCTTTTTAATTTTCAAATATTAAAAATAACAAAACAAACACCTGTGCATGCACCATCCAAACCATTTGTTAATAAAATGAAATGTGCGTCAACTAGACTCAAATAAAAAGAATTTTTAAGTAAACAAAATGAGATGCTGCAATTAAAACCAGGCTCCCCTGTGATCCCCTCCTCATTTCCTTGACTTCCTTCCTCTTCCCAGAGGCAGCCACTATTAAGAATTCAGCGCGTTTTTTTCTAGCTCATATGTTTTATCCTTTTATTGCATATATACATATCCACAACGTATGAGTGGTGTGTGTATGTATGGAGTTTGTGTGATTAAGAATTTATAAATAGCGTCATGTTCTGCAATTTGTTTTCCTTTTTAAGAAACATCACAATTTTGAGATCTGCCCTGGCACATGGGTTAAATTATTGTATAGTTTTTAAATTTACGACTATAGCACAATCTGTGTGCTCACCGCTCTAGCGACAAATTTAGATGGTCTCCTGTACTTCCTTACTGTCAACAGGGCTCTGCCGGACATTTGTGAACGCGCCACCCTGCACACGTGGGAGAGTTTTTCTTTGAGGGACTGTTCTGCAGTTCACCATGAGGGGAGCATCAAGACCCGAGGTTGTACGTGCCAGAAAAAACCCTGCCCTGTGAGGAACCCCCGTTAGGAGGTGGTCTTGGCTCAGAACACAGCCCCCGGGACCCAGCCGCTCTGGGTTGAAACTCGGCTCTGTCTCGTGCAGGGGTGTGGCCTCAGCAAAGTAGTTACCGCTCCCTGTGCCTCGTTCTCCCCGCGTGTCACTGAGGATAACAGCACCCACGTCAAAATGAGGACATGAGCACCAGCCCAGGTGCGGGAAAAGCCCTTGCGGAAGCGCAGTGACAGCCAGGAAGGGCCTCAGTACCTGCCATATTTTATTATCATCCAGCGCCAGGACTTCCAGGTTCTTGAGCGCCGCGATCTCCGCGGGACAGCGTTCCAGATGGTTCTGGCTGAGATCCAGGAAGCGCAGGCTGACCAGGCGCCGGAAGGAGCGCCGCAGCCCCCGCAGGCCGGTGTTGCACAGGTAGAGCAGGTGCATCGAGATCCACTTGCAGACGGGGCGCGGCACCTTCTCCAGGTGGTTGCCGCTCAGCCCGATCTCCGTCATCCCCACCAGCTCGGCCAGGGTGTGCGGGATCGAGTGGAGGCGGTTGTAGGACAAATCCAGCACCGAGAGCTGGCTGCAGTGGCCCAGCGTCTCTGGGAGAACGGGCAGGCTGTTATAAGCTAGGTAGAACTTCTGCAACCTTTTCAGGTTCCCAATCTCTTCGGGGATGACGGCGAGTTTGTTCTCGTCCAGGTCAATGATCTCCAGGTTGGTGAGAACACAGAGCTCGGCGGGAAAAACCTCCAGCTGGTTTTGCTTCAGGTAGATCTCCCTCAGTTTGGTCTGGTTCACTAGTTCCTTGGGCAGAGAGCGGAGGTGGTTGCCGCTCAGCCCGAGCAGCTCGAGGTGGTGCAGGAGTTTGCAGATGACGATGGGGATCTCGGTCAGGCCGGTGTGGTAGAGGCGCAGCTCGCGCAGGCGGCGCAGGCTGCTGAGGACCGGAAGGGACGAGGACAGGAGCGGGTTGTGGCTCAGGTCCAGGCCCTCCAAGCTGCCCAGCTTGCCCAGCTCTGGGCACAGCTCGCTCAGCTTGTTCCTGTTCAGATAGAGGATCCGGACATTCCTTAAACGCTGGATGCCCGGGGGGATTGCTTCAATCTGGTTGTTTTCCAGATGCGCTTCTTCTAATTCTTCTAACTGCAAGATCTCTGATGGGATGGTAGTCAGGCTCCGATTCGAAGCATCAATGAAAAATGTTCTACCAGAGGCCTGTTGTGGATCATCGTTCGGATGAATTCTAGATGCGCCACCTACTGATTTTATGATGTCATTTGACATTGTGTTGAGGGAAGTTCAAGTAGTCAAAATCCGAAATACTGGGAAAAGAATAAAAAGATCCGTTTACTTGCCAGGGGATTCCATATCCTTAAGACAGATTAAGTTTAGTTAATGGAATCTTGTGCTTGACATTCTAACGTGGCATGAAATGTAGGTTTCTGTGTTTCATGTTGAGAGATGAATTCAAGTAGAGATTCCTTCTAACAGGTTGACTTACATGAAAAGAAAAAAGTCTCATTTTTAAAAATCCCTATTTTGACTCTATTTTCAGGTAGAATGGAGAAGATTGCAAAAAGTTTGCTCCTTCCATAAACACTGAGAGAACACTAGGAAAAAATAATATTTTAAAATGTTGCATTTTTTCCCCCTTGAAGCCACCAGAGAATTGTGGACGCAAAGAAGGCCAAAAGAATTAAATTCTAGAGATGGACTACCCCTTCGTAAGGAAGGAGAGACCAGTGGGCACTTTGATGCCTGGTGGCATTTTCAACTTTGGGGACCGGCAGACAGAGAAGCCAGTCTTCCATATTCACAGGCAAAGGAACTTCTTGAGACAAGGAGAAGCGGAGATACCTTATGGTCTTAGATCCCTAAGCCTGGCTGGGGGGTAGGGGCTTAAATCCCTGAGCAAGATATCTGAAATTGCCTCAAATTGAAATGAACTACAGCAGCAATCTAGAAAGAAATTAAATGAGAAGTATATCATGTGCATGGATTAAAACACTCAGTGTTAAAATGTTAATGTATTCCCCAAGTTGATCTTTTGTTTCAGTACAATCTCAATCAAAATCTCAATAAGCAGGGCACCTGGGTGGCCCAGAGGGTTAAAGCCTCTGCCTTCCGCTCAGGTCATGATCTTAGGGTCCTGGGATCGAGCCCTGCTTCGGGCTCTCTGCTCAGCAGGGAGCCTGCTTCTCTTCCTCTCTCTGCCTACTTGCGATCTCTCTCTGTCAAATAAATAAATAAAATATTTAATTTTTAAAAATCTTAATAGGCTTTTTTTTTCTTTTTTGGTGGAAGTTAACAGGCTGATTCTAAAATTTATATGAAAATGCAAAGAATGTAGAATTTCAGAAGACAAACTTGAATAACAACAAAATTGGCAGACTTGCACTACTGGATTTATAAGTCTTATAAATCTAAGGTGTTAATATTATATTACAGAAGACTAAGTACTTGGTCATTAACCTATGCACACACACCCCAAAGCCTAAGAAGGAAGGCAGAGAAGACGAGGAGGTGATGATGGCCTGGTTGATTGTAGCATCTTTGACTTGCCTTCTAGGCTGGGGGCTTTCCAGCTGAGTACTGGGCCTCTCCTCCCACACAGGGGCCTAGGCCCTAGATGGAGGGGATGTGCTTTGAGACCCACACTTACAATTACTGCGCCTTGCAACATAAAATATGTGGTTTAGATTCTCATTACTATATGCCTAGCCTTCAACAGAGTTCTGGGACAGTGTTGCTCTCTGTTATTTAAAGAAAGGTCAATGTTATGCCCCAATAATGGGTCCGTGATTAAAGGAGAGAGACTGAACAAAGCGAAGGTCAAGCAAAGCTTTATCTCAAGCCAAGCATCAAGAATCTAACCGAACGTTCGGGGTCGCACCTCTTACAAGAGAGGGCGACCCTTCTCTGTTTCACAGTCTAGCTTTTAAGGGCAAAGGCCATGCAGTTGGGCCTGGCCACGCACAGGTGGCCAATGAGATTGTAACACACACAGGAAACTCCATAGTGAGGCTAGGTGACCCATTCAGTTACAATTGACCCTAGTAGACATTTGAACCAGCCTATTCCACCTTGATTGGGATTGGCGCCCAAAGGGCGGGGCTCATCCTCCTTGGTAACCAGGGAGACAGTATGCATCCCCCCACTGATCGGATGTCTCCACCTGGCCTGACCCACCTTTGTATCTGGGCTTTGTTACCTGAAGCTGGTTTCCGGGACTTGTCTCCAAGTAAATCCCCTGGGGGAAGGGGAGCAGGGACAGTTTCTAAATAGGTCCTTACAGACAAGACTTATCATTGATTAAATTGTGTATAGAATCAGCTGTCTCCAACATTTCTCATTTGATCATTAGATTGATTTGATACTATTCAGTCCTGTAGGATAAAACTTCCAGTGTCTTTCATATAAACTGGCAATGCTGAAGACTCTTAGACGACATACCGACTAAAGCCACAGGAGAAAGGAAAATAGAGAACACTCAGGACACTGTATGTGCTAAGCTTTACTTAAATTAATGTATGGAATCCTCACTAGAACCTTAAGAAGCAGACACCATTACGATCTCTGTTTTACAGATACAGAAACTAACCAAAAGGCCTTTTCTCAGAACATAGTAGGAAGTGGGGACCGGAGTGTAGAATTTGTCCTAACCTTGCTCAGGATATTAACATCATTTGTTTACCAGAAGCCTGGTTTTTATTTTTTTTTATTTTTTTTTAAAGATTTTATTTATTTGACAGACAGAGATCACAAGTAGGCAGAGAGGCAGGCAGAGAGAGAGGAGGAAGCAGGCTCCCTGCCGAGCAGAGAGCCGGATGCAGGGCTCGATCCTAGGATCCTGGGATCATGACCTGAGCCGAAGGCAGAGGCTTTAACCCGCTGAGCCACCCAGGTGCCCCAGAAGCCTGGTTTTTATTAAAATCAGGCTTGGGTGTGAGCATTCAGGCTTGATTTTCTTTGGACGCCTTTCAGCAGAGTCATCTCAGGAAGATTCTTGCGGACTAGCTGTGTGATTAGGGTTAACCCAAGTGCATCTGGGCTTCCAGACACATGAAAGAACTTATTTCTCCTAACATTTGTCTTGTTCCATGATGAGACCTGCCTAGAGTGTCTGAATGTGTGTGTACATACATTATCTCACCAGAATCCTATATGCCACACGCGTCTGGAACCAATTTGATGGACTCTGAAAGCTACATAATTGTATATCCATTAACAGACTTAATAAAAGGAGGTTGCAAAGTCAGATTTGCAACAGGTTGGCCAGTAATTCAGCCACAGTAAATAAGAACAGATAAGATTGATTCCTTACTGGTTATTTTTTTCATAAGGATTGCTACTGCAACGTGGCCAAATGAACTTGTTACAACCCAGTATTACTGTGGAATATCTAGGTGTAATAACTGTTGTGTCTTTTCAAGGAGTCAGGGTTTGGATAGTTTAATAATTGGTCCCTTTAGGGGTAATTTTAATGCCTGAGAAAAACCATTTAGGAAAATGATCAACCTTCTCAAATTTATATCAATTGTTGATACTTTCGTTTCCAAGTCTATTTACATGCCAACTGGATAGATAAGACTAGGGTCCTGAGGTTAATGTGGCTCTGATAGCATAAATAACCATTTCTAGTTAAAATAATTTCAAGATTTTACTTACAGCTTCACCTAGGAGATCTTCTCCCTCTAACACAGACAAGCCAAGAGCCTCAATATACCTAGGGCTGGAGAATCATGTAATGGTAAGGGTAACACCCTTTGCTTTGATAAAAATTTCTGGGAAACCCAAACCCCAGGAAAAATGTTTAAGTCTCCTCTCAAGTAATACGAGATGAAGACCCATATAAACTTCAGACTTGAGTGGAAAACTTTCATAAGCAAGCAACTTTAGATTTTTGGCCTGGGCAAGGGAGAATCTAAATGACTCAGACAATAATAAAGGCAAGATTCTAGGTGTGATGTTGTGATATAATAATAAATACATATTTGGTCTTTGTTCCCAAGTTCCTGATACAAAAGTTTCTAAAACCTTTAGTGTTTTCTGAGGGTTTGGAGAGAAGTGTCTCTTGTTATTCATAATAAGCCCCATTCAACCCACCTGAGTCCATACTAATGCGGTCACTCTCCTTAGGCCCCCAGATTGCCTCACAAGGGGGCCTGGTTGCCAGAGGAACCATCCACGTGATGAGGGGGGTGGAACTTTCAGCCCTAGTCCAGGACCTCAAGAAGAGGCGACTGGGAGAGGGGCTGGAGGTTGAGTTAATCACCAATGACCATTGATTTAATCAACCGTGCTTCCAGAATGGAACCTCTATAACCGTAAACAACGGGGTTGGGAGAGCTTTTGAGTTGGTGAGCACATCAAGGTGCCTGAAGGGTAATGTGTCCAGAGAAGGTGTAGAAGCTCTGTGCCCTTTCCTCATACCCTCTCTTCCCCATGTGCATCTCTTCTATTTGGCTGTTCGTGAACCGTAGTTTTTAGAACACAGCGGTAACAGTAAGTAAAGTGTTTGAGTTCTGTGAACCTTTAAAGCGAATTGTTGAAATTCAGGAGAGAGCTGTGGGTACCCCCAATCTGGAGTCCACTGGTACTGGTGACAACCTGGGACTGTGGCTGGTATCTGAGGTGGGAAGCAGTCTTACGGGACTGAGCTCTCAAGCTGTACGGTGGGCACTAACTCGGTGTGTAGTGTCAGAATCAAACCTCAGGACACCTACTTGGCGTCTGCATAGAACTGGAGACTGGCTTGTTTGGAAAACCCCCAGTTGCTGTCAGGTGTTTGGTAAGTAGAAAGTTCCACATTAGTACTAGGATACGGAGGTGTTTGGTATGTTAAGAGAAATAGAAGGAAAAAAGTCTATAATCTGATAATGAGCTCTGAAAGTCTTGTAGAGTGAGGAGTCTTCCAAGCACGGGTCCAACCGCAGGTAAAAGAGGCCTTAGAGAAACATTCGTTTGCCAGAATTGTTAGCCGTGTTGCATGGTGTCCCCCCATCCCTGCTGTCACCAAATTATTGATCTGAAATAGCTTCTCGGGACTTGTTTTCTTTAAATAGGCTTAGACGGGCATTTTACCCATTTTCAAAAATGTTTCTACCCTTCATTCCCCTACAGGTACCACCAAGCTATAGATCTAGTAATTCCTAGGCAAAACCTTTTTTTTTTTTTCTTTTAGAATGTGGTTTTTCAAATTATTGTCTTGCACAATGAAGGAGGTTTGAGGTGCTATTCTATTACTAATCAGATACCTTTTTGTCTCGTCAGATAATAAAAATGTAAACTTTTCAGACCACTCACTCTTTTATCCATGGGCCAAATAATTTTTTTGATAACACTATTTTTTCCACCTGCATATTTAGTACCTAAACAACACACATGCGTGAGCAACACCGGAAGCCAGCACGTCAGATACTCGTCAGAAAATTCAACCAGGAATTTGCTCTGACACTTTCTAGCAGCTCAGTTGAGCCTTCTGGTACCTGGGGAAAAATAACTAATGAATGTGTTAAATATTAATTCTCCCAGAACCTTGGAGTTGTCTCCATGTTAGCAGGAAACAACTTACCTAGACCCTATTATCTGTGTTTCCTCAAGACAGGAGGACTGTAATTATGAAAATTCATGCTGTTGGCTTTTTAAATAGTTACAATAAAAGAAACATTTGAAAAATACTTCTGGATTTTTTTTTATAAAACTATAATCAAAGACCTGTCTATTAAGTTACTTATATAAAGATACACCTACTAAACCTTCTTACCATAAGGTGCCAGAGAAATATAAATGCTGCCTTTTATAGAAGAGTGGGGACTACAAACCCTCATATATTCTCTTTGGTTCTGACTTCCAGAAAGCTGAGGTTCAAGTTCGACTTCCACTCTGGGTTCTTGACACCTAAGCACCCAGTGAATCCACTTAAGTCTCCTTGAAGCCAGCTCAGCAACAGGTTTCCCCACCTCCTATCCCTTCGCCACCAGTCAGTGATTCTCAAGGGGAGGGTTTTAAAAAATTATATCCCTTCTCCACCTGGAAATCATTGGATTAATGAAAAAATGTGCTGATGGAAAGGAGTTGTACATATGGTCAGTTTTTTGTTGTTGTTGTTGTTGTTTTGACCATCCTACTTGATATGCAGTTTGATGAGCTGTAGTTCAGCACAAATACTGTTACTTTTTGGTTTTGTTTTTTGCTAAGGTGGATAAGGAGAACAGTGCTTTAAGTGCTGTTTGTCTAGCTAAAAGCAGCTCTTTTCTGTTTATTCTGTTCTGACCATGTTTTCTAGTTACTCTCTAGAACAAAAGGGTGATTGGCACTTCTTGTTCCCTTAGAAGAGTATCTCTCCCTTCCCTTAGAGCAGTAATTAATAAATCCTGAACCTTTCTTTACTTTCCTCCACTTAACTCCAAATACTCTGAAAGGGGTTGGGAGGGTAGATGCTGAATTGTACGCACACTCATGCTTTAGTATTTCAAGCTACCTCTTGGCTTTGTTGGTAGAACATGGGGTAAATGAAAATATTTTCTATTCATGTTTAACCTGAAGTAATTCAAGTGATGCTTAAAATCTGGGCTACACTGGGTGTGAAGAGACCCCGCCTTGCCTAGCAGAGTTTCTTAGCAGTGGACTGGTGTTCTGGAATTGCCTAATGGGGTATATTTAGGGACAGAGGTCCTGGACATTTTTGTTTTCACTGTGTTCAGATACGTCTTGGTTTCACCTTGAGGGGCATCCTTCTTTCTCCCAGGCAAGGAGTCTCTGGTTGGCTCCAGAGCTCTCTCCAGGGGCCCTTCAGCTGCTTCCTCTGGGGTCTATGGTAACCACAAACAGAAGACCTTTCCTTCCCTCCTTCCTCTTTTTCTCTCTCCCACATCCAAGTACCTGAGCATGTTGCCTGTAACTGTGGCTGGGTTTTGTTCTCTTCTCCTCCCTTCTCCAAGTCCAGCCTCAACTGGATCTTCTCTCAGCGGGGTTACTGCAACTGCTTCAGACCTCACCTCCCCCAGGTCCTGTCAAATCCACCCTCCACCTGCTGATCCCTATCTGAGAGCTCCCAGCGTCCTTGTCCCATAACAGCTTGGCGCTCAGAGGATGCACAAGGGCTTCTCGTGGGTCGACCCTGCCTGCCTGCCTCCCACCCTGTACTCATCTGGAAGCCCCAAGTACCAGCGCGTCTCCAGCACCTACCAAGTTGTTCCGGCCTGGGGTGGATTAACTGGGACCACTCAGGAAGTTACCTCCTACAGAAAGCCCTCCCTGATATCCCCGCCCCCCGCCCCCCCCCCCCCAAGACTATCTACATAACCCTTTAAGCTCCCTTAGCTCCGTGCCTTATCCGTGCTGTTGCTACTCTCTGCTACTGCACGTGGCCACCGCAGTTATGTACACACTTTGGGGAGGAGACTGTGTCATAATCGTCTTTGTAGCCCGGCTCCTAGCCCATCAGCCGTGCCCCTGAAACCTCAAGAACGTCCCTCTGCAGAGGAGCCAGAGCACCCTCCGTGTGTTTTTAACCAAGGTCTAGGGGATCCGGAGCCAGAGGGGGTGACCAAGGAACTTCCATTGCTTTGGCAATCGCAGCCTGCCCTGAGGCCCACGTGGGTAATGGCAGGGGATGCGCAGCGGACGAGAGGTGGCGCTCAGGGTCTGGCGCTCATCTGAGCCCGGGAGCTGCAGGTGGGTGGCCGGGGACTGGGCAGGCGCATGCGCGCCGTCGTCATGACAACGCTTCCGCGGCAGCCTAGGGGTGAAGAGGAGTATGTGGGGCCCGGGGAAGGAGGCCGCGGGGGCCGGGCCTGGGTCCCCCACTCCCGTACCCACTACAACCCCTAATCCGTCCTCGGCCCCCGAGGACGGTAGTGGTAAGAAATCGGATGTCCTTCGGCGAGAGCAGGAGGCGTCTCCGGCCCCAGCGGCAGGGTCGCTGGCACAGCCGGTTCCTCCCAGCGGGCTGCCAGCTGGAGGCGGTGTGGCAGGCGGGCGCCCCTGGGAACCTCAGCTGCGGCCAGAACTTTGGGGCCCCCAAATGTGGGTGGGAAGGGAGCCCCAAGTTCCCCCGATGGGTCTGCCCTTCACACTAGCCATTGTCCTGGAGGAAGGTGTGTCTGTTGCTTTACCCTTATCAGAGTCTCCGGGAAAGTTCTGGGGCCCTTTATTTGTGGAAGTTCCAGAAAGCAGGGCCTAGGTGGGCAAAAGGGCCTTGAGACCGTTCTGACTTGGTATCTATGTCACCTCCGTTTTAAGTATTTCTGCAACCGTGAATGATCTCTAGCAAATTAAGCATAGCCTGCACGTCCCTCCTCTTGCCTCCATTTCCATTTTGGATGTTTGTATTAATGTGCCTATAGATACGGAACTGTGCTAGAAGACTGTATCCTTGAGATGGGCACCGTGCTCTGCTTTTAGCATAAGAGGAAATTTAAGATGGGAGAATTAAGATAACTTGTTCAAAGTCACACAGCTGATCCTGGGCAACCAACCCAGTCTGACTCACTCCCAACCCTTAGATTTTCTGGTATTTGGCTGTTCAGTATAGAAGGGCTTAGGGGACCACCTCCAAAATGAGCCCTTTCTTTAGAAATTTTAAAACGTGCTGCCCGGTGAAAAATATTTGGAATACAAGAAAAATGACATTTGAGTTAGATTCTTTATATTTTCTTGTGTAACTGGTTAGTCTTAGTTTTAGCTTTACAATTTGAAGATGGATTTATTATTCTCCCCTAAGATGAATACAGGAAATAAATTTTTGGTACCATAAAATCCTGACATACAACATGAAAGAGCATAGCAGAAAAATATAGCAGAAAATTTTAAATACTTTAAATCCATGGTCAGGTAATAAGAATTTTCTTTTCCTTTTCCTTTCCTTTTCTTCCTCCTTCCCCCCCTTAAAAAAAAAGATTTTATCTCTTTATTTGCAAGAGAGAGCACAAGCTGAGGAGAGAGACAGAGGGAGGAAACAGACTCCTAGCTGAGCAGGGACCCCAACGTGGGGCTGGACCCCAGGATTGTGACCTGAGCTGCAGACAGATGCTTAACCCACTGAGCCACCCAGGAGCTCTTAAGAATTTTCCTGTAACTTTCTTTAGCTATATTTAGCTTGTAGTCTAAGATTCCTTCCCTCAGAGAAACATGAGTTCTAAGTCGTGAAACTTTTCTTGTGCACATTCTGGGTGTGGGGCAGCCAGCTGAGGGCAGGCTCAGTCTTTGCTTTTTAATACCAAGGAAGGTAGTAGCCAGAAGGGAGAAAAGAAGCCTGGTGGGAGCCCAGCTTCAACAAGTAAATTTGTTACAGATCAATTTGCTGTGTTGTCTGTGGAGAATGCTAAAGTAGCATTTTGTAGCTTGAACTCTATGTGAACCATGGTCACGTAAGTCTGGGAAACGGAATATTTTTATTCTCCCTTCTCTTCAGGCTCAACAATTTGAAGTCTTTGTGCCCTTGAATGTTGTAAATGTCCTGAGAAGTATTATAGAGGTCTGTTTAGCTTTAATTCAGAACTTCCCAAATGTATATGAGAATAAAATCTCTTCTATTTAGAACATGTTTGATCATCTCATGAAAGATTTGTGTTCTGAAGAACACAGTTTGGGAAATATTGTGCTAAAATGTTATTTAGATTCATGGAAATTTCCTAAAATAAGGAAGGGTTTCTTATATACATCAACCCATAAGACAGGAAATTCTGTTGACATTAAAATTTTTCCAAGGCTGACATGGGAAAACTCTATGTTAACTGAAAAGATATAGAACTGTACTGAAATATTCCAATTTAAAAAAAAAAGGCTAATATGTACATAATTGAGAAAAACAATAAGGAGGAAATACCCAGAGACCTTAATTGTAATGGTTCTTTAACATAGGATTGCTGATATTTATTTCCTTTTGATATTGAAATTTCCAACTTGTCTGGAATAAGTGGGTTAGATTAATTTTTTAAAAGCTGATTTAAAAGATGGGGCACCTGGGTGGCTCAGTGGGTTAAAGCCTCTGCTTTCAGCTCGGGTCATGATCCTAGGGTCCTGGGATGGAGCCTCACATGGGGCTCTCTGCTCAGCGGGGAGCCTGCTTCTCCCTCTCTCTCTCTGCCTACTTGTGATCTCTGTCAAATAAATAAATAAAATCTTTAAAACCTGATTTAAAAGAAAACTATTAAGAAAAGTTTAGTGCTTTCATTTTTAATGTAATGTTCCTCATTTTAAATCTTGTTCTGCAAGTTTGTTTAGCAAACTCTTGAGTTCATACAGTACAGAAATCTCAGCAAAGTACATCTCTTGAGATGCAGAAACTCAGAGGCTGGATCCTGAAGACCCCAAGCTGTTGAGTAGTGAGATCTCTGAGCACAGATTTTTATTTTTATTTTTTTGAGAGACCTATACAGGGGCTCCTGGGTGGCTCAGTGGGTTAAGCGTCTGCCTTCGGCTCAGGTCATGATCTCAGGGTCCTGGGATCAAGCCCCGCATCGGGCTCTCTGCTCGGTGGGGAGTTTGCTTTTCCTTCTCTCACTGCCTGCCTCTCTGCCTGCTTGTGATCTCTGTCAAATAAATAATTAAATTCTTAAAAAAAAAAAAAAAGACCTATACAAAAGATAAGACAGAAAACAAAGATAGTGGTAGGTGCTTCTAAGAAGAAGAACAACATCATTTCTACTCCCAGAAGACTTGGGTCTTCCAAAGATCCTTGTAAATTAATATCCAAAACAGTAAGACCATTAAGGAAAGCTTCAGGCATAACAGAGGAAGGAGATTTCAACTCCTGCTTTGTTTCTATCATCTTTATTAAGGACTGAACAGAGAAAAATCAACCTTTACAAAGAGGAAGTGAAAGGCCAGGGTAGGTGAAGAGCTTCTCTGAGTCTGGCCTCAACTCAGTTTTAGGAGGAACCCACAGAGCTGTAGTCAAAGATGCCATCAATGTGCATGTGTAGAGGGTATCCAGGGAGCCTTGGGGACTCACGGATTTTTCAGATCCTTTTTGAGTTTAGATCCTCTGATTAAAATGTTTTTATCTGATTAAAATAAAAAATAAGGGGCGCCTGGGTGGCTCAGTGGGTTAGGCCGCTGCCTTCGGCTCAGGTCATGATCTCAGAGTCCTGGGATCGAGCCCCGCATCGGGCTCTCTGCTCGGCAGGGAGCCTGCTTCCCCCTCTCTCTCTGCCTGCCTCTCTCCCTACTTGTGATCTCTCTGTCAAATAAATAAATAAAATCTTAAAAATAAAAAAATAAAAAAATAAAAAAAAATAAAAAATAAAAAATTTTAAATTTTTATTTTAAATATTTTTATATTTTAATATTTTTAATAATTTTTATTTTTAATAAAATAAAAAATTTTTATTTGACATCCTTTTAAGAAAACGTGAGTCCCCTAACCCAGTGTGGTAGAGTGGAAAGAGGCTTTGGAGTCTGTTTTTTATACTCTACCCTTATTAGCTGTATGATTTTGGACAAAATCTTTAATTTCTCTGAATATCCTTTTCCTCTGCTACCAGGATGTTAGTTCTTCTTTGTGTCACTTACAAGTTAGTGTCTGCCTAGTCTCAGTGAGTGTTTCTATGGCCCTGCTTCTCCAAACAGCATTTTTATTCCCCCTAATTCCTTCTATTTTCTTCCTTTCTCTAGTCTTAATTCTTTTGCCCTTTCTTCCTCACTCCTGACTCTATACATACACATTCTTATCTTTGAAGAAGTGTAATTTTTTGGGAGGGGAATGAGTGGGGACAGGAAAGGTCCTGATATCATTTATATGTGATGAAGAGTAATGCACTTATTTTTCAAAAGCTCCAGAAGTTACTGGCCATCTCCAGGAAACTTACTATAATCTCTGTATGGAAAAGTCCCAGAAAATTAATTCTTTTATATTGCATATACTCCAAGAAGTCGATGAAGAACTCGAAAAGGGGTAAGGAAGACAAATACTTGATTACATAAGTAGTATTCACTGACCTCCTTCTGTATGAAAATCTTGGAATACTGAGTGATTTGTTTAAAGCGATTTGTACATGGCTTTTAAAACAGATCTACCTTTTGATTTAGAACAGTGGCTGATGGACACTGTTAGCTGGTCTTGGAGGTAGCAGAGTACACAAGGAAAAACAGTAGACCAGTGGCCTCCAAGTCTAGCCTTCAGATTTGTCCTGAACTCCTGGGAGCTGGATTTATTTGTGAAAATATTGAAGTCTTTGATGTGATTACCTATCAGGAGGAGTGTGTGTGTGTGTGTGTGTGTGTGTGTGAGAGAGAGAGAGAGAGAGAATAAAATTATATACTATAGAAGTATTTACAAAATCTGTTGAATATTCAGTCGTCTTAAGTTACTTGGTATAAATCTATATTGTGATACATACTTGGTTTCAGTAAATGCTATTCATGATATTACTATTTATATAGGGGGAAAATACTTCTATTTCTTTAGTGGGTTTCTTTTTTGCATTTTAATAGGTCAGAAGGAATCACATTAAATATTGCTGGTAACAGTCGCTTAATGCCAGAAGAAAGAGTAACAGGCAAAGATTTTTGGATTCTTTTCAGAATTTTAAAGAAGAATCCATATATCAATGGTATATGTCTCCTTAAAAATCATTACCTCTTTAATTTTCCTGATTTTAATTATTCAGTATAAGGAATATCAGCCTGTATTCATCCGTGTTCTTCAGGTTTGGATGTTAGATATAACCTCATAAGTGATGTTGGTGCATACTATGCTGCAAGACTGCTTCAGGTATTTTACTACAAAATGTTGTTAGTTCTTTTTGTTTTCTTCCAGGAGTCAGTTAAGAGCCAGTACTTTTTCTTTGAAAGGTACATGGTTTGAGTACCTCAAGTCTGCTAAGTTAATAACCCTTTATTGCAGACTTCTTTGAAGATGCCCATGCTGAAATGCTGCATTGTGGTTGCATTTCATTTAAGAGAGACAGTGGGGTCCAAAAAAAAAAAAAAAAAAAGTGTGGTCCACCAATCAGAGTAGGTCTACTTTAAGAAAAGGCTTTGTTTCAACCTCAGAAGATTGGCAAATATAGGTATGTGTTTGTATTTTCAGTTAAAATGTTTAAAGCAGCATTATCACTATTGTTTAAATTGGCTATTTAAGTTCCTAACTACTTTCCCCAATTGCTAAATATACTTCTAATGAGCTTAAAAATGATCTTAAAATTCTCATGTCCATGAGGGGCACCTGAGTGGCTCAGTCCTTAAGCGTCTGCCTTCAGCTCAGGTCATGATATCCTGTCCTGGATAGAGCCCCACATCGGGCTCCCTGCTTGGCAGGAAGCCTACTTCTCCCTCTCCCTCTCCTCTGCCCTTGTATCCCTTCCCTTGCTGTGTATCCGTTAAATAAATAAATAAAATCTTTAAAAAAAATTTCTCCTATCCATGAGATATGGCACACAGCACAAGGACAGAGTGAAGATTAAGAAGTATGAACTAATTCTCAGCAATTACAAAAATGTTGCAAAAATCACCAAAATGTTCTTAAGTTTTCTTAATTCTGTTTGCAGTGAAACCACCTAGTCTAGCGGCACACACAAAATGCTAGTCTTGCAAAATGTCCAGGGTCCTGACCTTGCACTGTATTTACAACACTTGAAATAAACTGAAAACCCACTTGTGTATTTGTTCTTGGTAGATTCTGGTAACTAGAGCTCCTAAGTCATCTTTTGCAAACTTGTACACTATGGTTAAATAAAGGGCATTCATACTTTGAATAATTGATCAAAATAGAATAGTCTTTTTCTTTCACCTACATTGCAATTATGTTTAAATGAGCATGATGATGCCCACAGCCCACCCCACCCCAATGGTAGCTTTTTGTTGGACTTGGAGATTTTCTGTTACAAAGATTTTCTTTGGAGGTAAATTCTTTTACTTAAATAAAGCAGCGCCTGTATTTTTTTCCTTAATAATTACATATGTAATAGCTTCTTTTCTCTTCTTATTATAGAAGCAACATAAACTCGTTTACTTAAACCTTATGTTTAACGATATTGGGCCAGAAGGTGGAGAATTGATTGCTAAAGCACTACATGTAAGCATTTATATACCTCAAACATTTTCTTTTGGAATTTTAACTTCTGATAGCTTGTAATTAACCAAAATGTTATTGTGAACTCATTATTGTGCAAATATGTATTTTTATTACACTTCATTAAAATGTAATATTACATGAGCATTTTTGAACTCATTTTTAAAAAGCTTTAAGATACTTAGCATACATAAGAACTTACTTTTTCTCCATCAAAATTTACTTTAAGATTTTTGTTCAGTGGGTTTTTGTATATTCAGAATTTCTTGACCATCACTGTTTTTAGAACATTTCATCCCCAAAAGAAACCGTGTGCACATTAGCAATCCTTCTCTATGCTTCTTTCACTCTCCCAGCCCCTGGCAGTCATTAATCTGTGTTCCATCTAATAGATTGCCTATTCTGGACATTTCACATAAATGGGATCTTAAAATATGTGGTCTCCTGTGACTGGCTTAATGCTTTCAAGGTTCATCTGTATTGTAATATACTTGATTCTTATTGCCAAATAATATTCCATTGTTTGGCTATATCCTATTCATCCATCAGTTAAGGACATTTAGGTTTCCACTTTTTGTCTACAATAATGTACTATGAATACTTGCACATTTTTGTATGCATGTTTTCAGTTTTCTTGGGTATATACCTAGAAGTGTAACTTCTAGATCGTTTGGTAACTGTTCAACTGTTTTCCAAACTGTCTTTTTACAAGTCCAACACTGTAGGAGTGTCCTCGTTTCTCTACATCCAGAACTTGTTACTGTCTTCTGGACTTTAGCCATCCTAGTAGATATGCAGAGGTTTTTTGGATTTGATTTGCATTCCCATCATGAATAACGAGGCTTAGCATCTTTTCATATGGCATTGTTTGGAAAAAATGTCTGTTCAAAGCCCATGTCTAGTTGTCTTTTTAAATGCTGATTTTTAACTGCTAGTCTGTATGTTCTGGATATAAGTCTCTTATACATGATCTGCAAATGTTTTCTGTCATTCTGTAGATTGCCTTTTCACTTCCTTCATGGTATCCTCTGAAGCACAAAATTAATTTTGATAAAGTTCAACTTTTTTTCCTTTGTGCTTTTGGTGTTATATCTAAGGCCTTGCCTATCTCAAAATCATTAAGATTTATATTTGCATATTCTAACAGTTTGTTTTTAGCTCCTTTGTTTAGTTCTTTGATCCATTTTGAGTTAATATTTGTATATGGTGTGAGGTAGGAGTCTAACTTCATTCTTTTGCATGTGGATATCCAGTTGTCCCAACACTATTTAAGATTATTTCTCCCCCATTAATTTTCTTGATGCCCTTGTCAAAAATTGATTACAAACAGTTTCTCTACTCTTCATTCTATTCTATTAACCTGTATGTCTGTTCTTATGTCAGTCCCACACAATCTTGATTACTGTAGTCTGTAGTCAGTTTTGAAGTCAAGAAGTGAGTCCTTTTGTTGTTTCAAGATGTGTTGGCTCTTCTGGGTCCTTTGCATTTCCATATGAATTTTAAGACCACTTTATCAATTTCTGCAAGAAAAACAAGGATTTTTTTAAAAAAGATTTTATTTATTTGACAGAAATCACAAGTAGGCAGAGAGAGGAAGAAGCAGGCTCCCCGCCAAGCAGAGAGCCCGATGCTGGGCTCGATCCCAGGACCCTGAGATCATGACCTGGGCCGAAGGCAGAGGCTTTAACCCACTGAGCCACCCAGGTGCCCCCCAAAAACAAGGATTTTGAGAGAGTTGCTTTCAATCTTTAGAAAATTTGGGGAGTACTGTCATCCTAACAGTATTGTCTTCTGATTCATGACGTGGGATGTGTTTTCATTTATTTATATCTTTCATTTCCTTCAACAGTGTTTTGTTTTTAATGTACAGGTCTTGATTTTGCTAAATTTATTCCTAATACTTTATTCTTTTTGATGCTACTATAAATGGGACAGTCTTTTTTTAAAAAATATTTTATTTGACAGATACAACAAGAGAGGGAACACAAGCAGGGGGAGTGGGAGAGGGAAAAGCAAGCTTCCCGCTGAGCAAGGAGCCCCATGCGGGGCTAGATCCCAGGACACGGGGATCATGACCTAAGCCGAAGGCAGATGCTTAACCGACTGAGGCACCCAGGTGCCCCTAAATGGGAGTTTTAATTTCAGTTTTGGAGTGTTCATTGCTAGTGTGTAGAAATACAATTGATTTTTATATATTGGTGGTGTGTCCTGCAGTCTTGCTGAACGCACTAGTTCTAACAACTTTTTTAGGTGGATTCCTTAGGATTTTCCATATATAATATCCTGTTATATGCAGACATAGTTTTCTTCTCCAATGTGGGTGCCTTTTTTTCTTTTCCTTGCCTAACTGCCTCATCTAGAACCTGCAGTACTCTGTTAAATGGCATTATTAACAGTGGACCTCCTTGCCTTCTTCCTGTTCTTAAGGGGTTTCAGTTATTTGCAGTTATGTCCTCTACTATTTATTAGGACACTGAAATGTCTAATTTTCTTTGTGAAAGAATTATCAAGAGTGGAATGAGAGGAGTTAAACTTTGCAAGTGTCTGAGGAATTACATTCCTTTAAAAGTGATACAGGGAGAATATAAAGTGATTGCTTAATGGGTATAGGGTCTTCTTTGTTGGGGGTGGGGGGGGTGAAGTGTTTTCGAAACTAGCTAGGTGATGGTCCTTGAACATTGTGAACTTATACATTGTGAACTTATTAAGAACATAACATTGTGAACTTATTAAAAACCAGTGAATTGTATACTTTAAAATGGTTTACTTTGGGTTATGTGAATTTCACCTCAAAAAAAAAAGTGGTATAATTTTCTTAAAAACGAATCTATAGATTTCTCAATGAAAGGAAAACTTATAAAATCTGCTTCATTTACTGGGCATCTGTTTCCTGGGCATTCTTTCCGGTAAAAAATTAAACCAGATTTTTATCTTATTGGGAAACTAAATGTTATTTTTAAGGAATATCCTATTCTATCTCCATGAAACCATGAAAACTTGAGTCTGCAAATAGTAAAAGTCTGCTAACTGATGTTATCAAGAAAAAATTTTGTGGAATACAAATTTAATGAAGTTTTGATTCTTTTTCTTTTCAGAAGAATACAACTCTGAAATACCTAAGAATGACTGGAAACAAGATTGAAAATAAAGGTGGAATGTTTTTTGCTGCAATGCTACAAATTAATTCATCTTTAGAAAAATTAGATTTGGGTGACTGTGACCTGGTAAGTAAAATGGTTGAGAAAAATCACCCACGTACTGCATCGATCTCCTTGGAAATAGGATAAGGAATTGTTGAAGAGATCAGCTAAATGAGAGTCTTATGACTTTTAAGCTTGTCCCTAATATCTAATATCAGGGAAAAAAATTTTTTTTGTTTTGCTTTGCTTTTACTATTAGGCATATCAGTGTTATTAATAAGATTGTATTAAATAATACTATAGAGGAATAACTAGAATAAAATTCTTCCCAAGCTTCTATCTATAACCCTTCCTAACTTATACAGGATTTTTTGAGGGAAAAAAAATTTTTTAATTGAAAAAACGCTACTTCATTAGAAAGCCTATATTCTAGTTGGGAAAATATCAAAGAGAAAATTGCTACAAAGATAGCTAAGTACTCTGTCTGGTAGGAGGTAATCTGCATGATAGCATGGTTGCCTAGTATCTGAGGAACTACCTTGGAGAGGGTCCATGGCAGAACATCCCAGGCAGGGGTCCAGCACACACAGACTCTAAGATAGTGCTACCCTTATGGTATGGGTAGCACAGCTATTACAGATAGAGGTAATTTTACTGCTCATGTATTTATTTTTACAGATGCTCTATTTTGAGGAATTAGTTTTCCATTTATGGTAGTGATAGAACTTTAAAGTGGGAAAAGTGAGTTGACTTAATAGAAAACTATTAAGTAAACAGTAAAACTGATATTATAATATGGCAAAAATCATGAGTGGTACATGAATAATGAAAGGCTGAGTCTGGCAGGTTTTAAGAACTGAAAAGCCAGAGTGGCTAGTCAGAGTATCTCAAAGTGTGGGTGAGAGGTGTGCAGAGGCCAGATCAAGCAGTGCTGTATGGGTTAGGGGTCAAGGCCAGGGGAAAAGGGGATTGGGTTCAAAATACATCTCATAAGGCTTTGAGTGGTGATGTGATTTGATTTGTCCTTTAAAAAAAAGATCACTCTGGGGTGCCTGGGTGGCTCAGTGGGTTAAAGCCTCTGCCTTCAGCTCAGGTCATGATCCCGGGGTCCTGGGATCGAGCCCCGCATCGGGCTCTCTGCTCAGCATGGAGCCTGCTTCCTCCTCTCTCTCTGCCTGCCTCTCTGCCTGCTTGTGATCTCTGTCAAAAAAAAAAAAAAAAAAAAAATCACTCTGGTTTCTGTGGGGAATTAGAGGGTAGCAAGAAGCTCACTGACCACTTAAAGTTATGGTCCAGGTGGGTTAAAAGGACTGGGGTGGGTGATGGCACACAGATGGGTTAATCTGAGACTTCTTTTAGAGACAATCTCTAAGACTTACTGATTATTTGGATGGGAGGGTAAGTAGACTGGTGAAGAGGAGGCCCAGGTTTCCTAGTGTTAAAGCTGGGGGTGTGTGGTGATGTCCAACACAGAAATCAGGGAGAATTAGGCCCTTCCAATAAGGTATTTCCACTGCACACACACTGAAAGTAAGGAGTATGCACATAAATGAATGCCTTCACAAGGTCTGTTCTAAGTAGTGTAGAACCCTAGCTGGGATCTGCATGTGTGTCTGGGTATCCGAGGTCGGAAACACACAGAAACTTGAGGACTCAGGAGCAAAGCTAGAGGTGAATGTCCTAAGAAACAGATACTGAAACTTTAAGAAACTCCCTGTGCGTGTTACAGATTTTAGGGCAGGGAGCAAAGAACATAGTAACAATTTACTTCTGAGTTTGATCAAACTATAATTCAGGCTTTATAGTTCTGACCGATAAACAAAATCTTAAAATACAGTTTATTTCTCTGAATCTAGATTACTGATTTTGAAATAGGGAGATTATATACTTTGTCAGCTCCTTAACGAATTTACTGTTTCTAGGGAATGCAAAGTGTGATAGCATTTGCTACAGTCCTAACGCAAAACCAAACAATTAAGGGAATAAACCTAAACCGACCTATACTGTATGGTGAGCAGGTATGTATTCAAAGTGATGACAGCTAATATTACATGTGAAAAAAACGAAGGTACTATTTATTGAAGGTTATTTCAAGGTTCATATTTTTAGAATTTACTGTATTTACAAAGAACTTATTTGAAGAAAAACTGAGTTAAATTATGATTTTAGATGTTGTTTATTTAAGCAGTAAACAGGTCTTTTTTCTTTCTTGTAAACTCAGATTAACAGTGAGTAAACCTGTAAAGAGGCAGAGTAGTCAAGATGAAAACAATGATTAAAGTTTTAAAGGCTGTGAATTTTGTTGTTATATTACTATCACTAAACTGCTTTGAAATCATGAGTAACAATGGCAGAATGTGTGTGAAGAGCAGCCTGGGAAGTCTGGACTTGATCCTATAGGTAAGCCGCAAGCTGGAGACAAGATGATGAGTAAAAACACGGTAGTTGCTTTCAAGGCTCCTCCGTGTTCTTTAACATTCTTTTAGAAGTGGCAGACAAGGTTCTCAGATTGAGGACATGAGATTTGAAGGCTAAATCAAAATGTTCTGATTAAAGCCTTGAGGAAATAAGTATGTTAAACTATGTGAAATCACATTAGAAACACCATTCCTCTTTTAAGTGTGTTGAGTGGTGTCATTATTCCCAAATCCGAGAAGAGTGAACAAAAGCCCAAGGGCTTTCTCAGGTGCAGGCCGCTGCTCTTAGCCCAGTCCTTCTAGCAGTCAGCTAAACTCCAGGCTGCTTTCTTCTCCTCTCCAAGGCAGCCACTCTCTGTCCCTCTGAGTCCTAGTCTCTTCAGTGGCTGTGGAGTAGAGTCCTGGGCTTCTTCATACTTTGCTGTTCCCAAACATAAGCCTGCAAACCTATTCCATTTCACTATCTGGGGAGCATGGAAAGATACTGATGCCAGGTGCCATCCTAAGCAAACTGTCAAAGTTGATAAATGATCTAAAAACACTATTTCTGATTTTTAGTTCCCTTCCTTAATAAGGGTGGTCCCTCAGCCAAATTTCTTGATCTAAAAAAAAACCAAAAAACAAAAAACACAATCAAAGCATAAAACACAAACATGTATCCTATCCCGTTCCAGGCACCATGCAGATCAACACTGGACCGGCTACGTGGTCAGTTTGCATTTGTTAAGATCCCAAACTATAGCTCCCTTTGGGCCTTTTTCAGTGTCAGCAATAATTTAAATAAATCAGATACAGGATTATAGACTACTGAACAATAAAAAATGCTTTATAGTGTTCTATAGATCAGTTATTTTATGCCAGGGACTTTTTTGTTAATTGTGAGGGAAGTATAATTTTACCTACCTTACAGATAAGAAAACAGACTTAGCTAGATGAAATCATTTGCCCAAAGTCAGGCAGCTAGTATACAGCTAGTATCTGGACAGTTTTCTCATAAAGCTCATATACTTTTATTACAAAACTCATGTACTATCTGCTACTGCTACATGATTTAACTTTTGTAGTTTTTCTCAGTTATTATGTAGAAGTACATAATTTGAGCATACAGAGATATCCATGTTCATGATCAGCATTCCCAGTGACTGTAAAACTTACAAATACAGCAATCTAGGGATACCTGGGTGGCTCAGTCGGTTAAACATCAGACTCCTGATCTCAGCTAAGGTCTTAATCTCAGGGTCATCAGTTCAAGCCCTGCGTTGGGCTCCTTGCTGGGCATGGAGCTTACTTAAAAAGAAAAAAAGCAGGGGTGCCTGGGTGGCTCAGTGGGTTAAGCCTCTGCCTTTGGCTCAGGTCATGATCCCAGGGTGCTGGGATTGAGCCCCGAATTGGGCTCTCTGCTCAGCAGGGAGTCTGCTTCCTCCTCTCTCTCTGCCTGCCTCTCTGCCTACTTGTGATCTCTCTGTCCAATAAATAAATAAAATCTTTAAAAAAAAAAGAAAAAAAAAGAAAAAAAGCCGCAATCAAGTAAGAGGACTTCTTACCATAAAATACTGACCCATTCATTTTAAGACCTGCTTTGACTTTGTTAAAAAAAAAAGTGCTTGGTATTCAAATCCTCATTGATGTTATATACTTTTTGCCTGGAAGGAGCTAGAGTTTGGAATTAAAAGTAAGTCTTCCAGTGACTGGAAATGTATTTAGAGATTTGGGATGATTTTAAAAAGGAAGAATTTAAAAAAAAAAAAAAAAAAGGAAGAATTGGATATCAAAGGTCTCAGTGTATTTTTAAAATAGAACCAACATTGAGAAATGGCTTTGTATTTTATCCATAAAGAGTGGAGATCAAGAGTAAAGTTCAGGAACATACGGGTATAAGAAACATCTGGAGATTCTTGAAAGGACAACAGTAAGGGAGCTTAATATGTGCAATATATCATGGGGCCAATCACCCCCGCCCAACCCACCTTCTGGAGTGATTGTTTAGAACGGACTTTTTAAAACCAGCGTATTTACATCACTTAGTCACTGTACTTTCCAAATGCCTGCTGCTGGTTTTTAAAATGATAAAGTATCACTTGTGGCAAAAGTGATTTTTCTTAAAAACCAAGCCAAAGCAAATACAAATTATAGGCTAATAGTCTCAACTGGTATCTTTTTAAAAAGCTAATTTAAGGGGCACCTGAGTGGCTCAGTGGGTTAAAGCCTCTGCCTAGGCTCAGGTCATGATCCCAGGGTCCTGAGATCGAGCCCCACATCGGGCTCTCTGTTCCGCAGGGAGCCTGCTTCCTCCTCTCTCTCTGCCTGCCTCTCTGCCTACTTGTGATCTCTGTCTGTCAAATAAATCAATAAAATCTTTAAAAAAAAAAAAAAGCTAATTTAAGTAACTTAGCATATATTTGGTACAGCATCAAATGTACAGCTTCAAAACTGTATTTTAGAATAAGGTTTTACCTATTTTTAGGAAGAATCCACAGTTCATCTAGGCCACATGTTGAAAGAAAATCACTGCCTTGTTGAACTACAGGTGTGTAAGCATAATATAAAAAACTGTGGTATGAAACAGTTATGTGACGCACTGTATCTGAACAGAAGCCTACGCTACCTTGATGTCAGCTGGTAAGTGATAATACATTATAAGTCCTGGGAATAATCTATGTAAATATTCATGATACCGAGGCTACACTGTTAAGACAGTAATTCCAAAGATCAGAAGATACAACCATTGTTGTCAACTTTTTGTACTAAGCTTTAGTATTTAGTTTATATTGATTATTTTATCTCAACAATGTGAATGGAGCATTTAATCATGAGTAAACCAGAATGGAGCAACATTTTATAGCAAATTTTCATTAACTTTTTTGGAAACTGAGTGATTAAAATCTTTTACTAAACTAGAAAAATAATGTTCTATACAACAATTCTGAGGCATGTTAATCTCTGTGAATAAAAGAATACTTCATATTTTCAAATGTAACCATGTATTCTTCCCTTCCAGCAATAAAATAACTTGTGATGGAATGGTGTGTTTGGCTGATGTACTGAAAAGCAATACTATCCTGGAAGTACTAGATCTTTCTTTTAACAGAATAGAAAATGCAGGAGCAAAGCATCTCAGTGAAACTCTTGCTTCACACAACAGGAGTCTTAGAGCGTTAGTATGGTTTTGTATTTAATCAAGAGAAAAACTTAAACTTTTAAAATACTAATATCAAGGGGCACTTGGGTGGCTCAGTGGGTTAAAGCCTCTGCCTTCGGCTCAGGTCGTGATCCCAGGGTCCTGGGATGGAGGCCCGCATCCGGCTCTCTGCTCAGTAGGGAGCCTGCTTCCTCTCTCTCTGCCTGCCTCTCTGCCTACTTGTGATCTCTGTCAAATAAATCAATCTTAAAAACAAAACAAAACAAAAAAAACTAACATTAATCCCCTTAAAACCCAAGATTCATGATGAAATATGAAAAATTTCTAAGCTGACATATTAAACATTTCAATTTTTTTCAAAAGTAATGTCTATTAAAAATTAGATTGATTCTAGGGGCGCCTGGGTGGCTCAGTGGGTTAAAGCCTCTGCCTTCAGCTCAGGTCATGATCCCAGGGTCCTGGGACTGAGCCCCACATTGGGCGCTCTGCTCAGCAGGGAGCCTGCTTCCTCCTCTCTCTGACTGCCTCTCTGCCTACTTGTAATCTCTGTCAGATAAATAAAATCTTTAAAAAAAATTAGATTGATTCTAGTTATGATTGCTTAAGATGGAGAAAATTCTTACTGCCTACTGTATTTATCCTGAATTCTATAGAAAAATCATTAATATGATCAAGACAAAAAATAATCAAAATATTACTGGAGGACTCTATCCTGAAGGGTGTATTTGTAACCCACCACAAACATTTACTGAATAATAACAGACTATTGGTTTCTAAAATGTAGGTAACTCTACTAGGTACATGAAGCATCCACTTAAAAAATGAAGTTTCTTGGGTTTTAGTTCGCATTATTTTTTTTTAAGATTTTTATTTATTTATTTGACAGAGATCACAAGTAGGCAGGGGGGGGGGGGAAGCAGGCTCCCTGCTGAGCAGAGAGCCTGCTGCGGGGCTCGATCCCAAGACCCTGGGATCATGACCTGAGCCGAAGGCAGAGGCTTGAACCCACTGAGCCACCCAGGCGCCCCAGTTAGCATTATTCTTAAGTATCTTTACTTCCCAAGATTTTACACAATAAAATATTTACAAAATAAAATAAATGTTGTTGGCTAACTTATGCATCTTCTTTGTGGAAGTATGTATTGGTTTCCAGGGTTATTACTTCTTGTTTCTGATAGGCTGTCAGTAGTCAGCAACAACATACAGGGAGAAGGACTGGTTGCACTTTCACAGTCAATGAAAACAAATCCCACACTCTCGAATGTTTACATTTGGGGAAACCAATTTGATGAGGCTACATGTGTGGTAAGTTTTTTTTTTTCTTCCTTCACTAAAGGCTTTTCCTGGCGTCTTCTCTATAGTGTCAGGCATTTACAGGTGGCCTTGGAAATGATTCCAAAATGTAGTAAGACACTTCAGTTTTGATAAATTTTAACATAAGTCCTAAAAACTAAGCACTGGAAAGTTTTGTGGTTTAAATAGAAGGCAACGAATACCACATATTAATATAGAGATCACTGAATTATACAATCCCAATTCCTCTAAAAAAATTTTAAAAACCAGAACTATTGATTTATTCTAAATTTGATGTAGCACAATCTCTAGTCTGCTGCCCAGTAATTAAACCAAGACATGGAATTTGGAGACCTAGTCTTTTATGTTGCTTTTAGGTTGCTTATGTAAACACAGCCCTTGATACCACTTGCAAAACAAAAAGCATTTTAACAAATAGTTTTTATTTGGAAAGAATGAAGATGCTAAAATTCTCAATTTGCAAAAAGACTATCCAAAATTCCACCTCCAAAAAGAGTAATAAAATATACTATTTAAACCCTTGATTTCAGAAAAAGATCATATTCTACACACTAGAATGAGTTTGGAATAATAAGCCTAAGCAGAAAACAGCTAAAATTTTAAATTTTTTACTATCTATATATCTTTCTCTATACTCACAATCTTATTAACCAACCATTTTAACATGTGTGTATGACACCCTTAACAAAGATACCAATGATCCTTAAGTGATATACAAAGAAAATTCTACAATGAAGATAGAATTAGGCTACAGCCAGGTCAGCATCTGATACTACAGAAATTGTCTTAGCCTCAATCTATAAATTAGCTTCAGGGAGTTCATGAACTCCATACAGCTGTATGCCAAAATCTGGTTGCTTATTTTTCTGTGAAATGGGTCCCTGGCTATCATCAGATTTTCAAGGCATACACAATTCCCTCCTCCCTCATTTCCAAACCCCTGTAGGACTTGAAAATTTTGACAATGAGACCTTTGGCCCACAAAATCTGTAATACAGAGAACTGTTAATTCTGGGAGCCATAAAACAAAATACTTCAAAACTTAGAAGTAACTTTTTCAAGATTATAATTATGTGAAATTAAGTGAATAAAAATTATATGTAAAAAATACTAAAATTTAGTATTTACTCAGAATATTTTAAACTGAAAATCAGCACAGCTAATCTGAAAATTGCAATTAGCTTATTCATTTTATGGAAATTAAACAATTTCTTAATGACAGGTTTCTCTTTTCTTAAAAATCATAGGCTTATTCAGACTTAATTCAAATGGGCCGTCTAAAACCAGACAATACAGATGTGGAGCCATTTGTGGTCGATGGACATGTGTATCTTGCAGAAGTCTCCAATGGCCTTAAAAAGCATTACTACTGGAGACCAACTTACGGAGAAGCTTGCACAAACTCACCTAATGCAGGTTTTACTCTTGTACCAGTAGGTGGACATCTATGAAAAACAAGCTCTGAAATTTTCACATTATTTGTCTTATGTTAATATTTTATTGCCTATTAAATTCTTATAGAACATCTTACCTTTTATACATTTGAAAAAAATTATTATATTAAAATGACTTTGTATAACTGTCCACTGTGGAAAAACAGTATCATTGTTTAAAAAAAAATTTTACAGGAGAGGGAAGATGGCAGAGTAGGAGAATCCTAAATTCACCGTCTCCCTATACCCCAGCCACACATGGTGGCAACTGCTGCATGTACTGCTACTCACTCTGAAAACTACCTGACGGGTGGCAGAACAGATCACCCACAGCTAGGTGTAGATCATCCACAGCTAGGTGTAGCAAGGTCACATCAAAAGTGTAGGAGGTACAGAGCTGCCATCTGCCATCGGTAATGAAACTCCTGGAGTGACCACTCACAAAGGTGAGGGACATTACAGGCGAGGAGGAGCGACCCCACAATGGACACCCTTGGCCCTGAGGACTTGCACTAGAAGACCAGTCTCCATAATGTCTGGTTTTGAAAATCAGTGTGGCTTAACTCCAGAAGAGCTGGAGGGCTGCAGGAAACCAAGTCTTTAAAAGCCAACACATTAAATAACTTGGCCCAAGACACAGCATAGAAGCAGCAGTTTGAAAAGTGCCTGGGGTATATCTAAGAGAGATTTCTCAACTAGTTTTAGGATGTGTACAGGAGGGGCAGGAATCTATAGGAAATAAACAGGAGCTTTCCCTGGGCTTGAAAGTGCTAGTGGGTGCCATTTTTCTTGTCCTCTCCCAGGCTAGACAGTCAGACACTTGTAGAAGCCAGTTCTGACCTTCTCCCCCTACCTTGCTAGCAACTGTGTGCCCTGCCCTTCCAACCTGCCCACTGTGGTAGGCACCCCTCTACAGCATCTCCTGCCCTGGGGAGTGGGGAGCTAACCCCATATACCAGTGCACATGCAGATGCTGTAGCCATGCTTCTCAGCTGCCTCTAGAGGGAGCAAGCCCTACTCCTCAGTGTGTCTGCAGCAGTCACACTCTCATTCCAGACAGCACTGGGCTGCAACCAGGTCTCACAGTCACCCACACAGGAAACAAGCGCTGCCTACCAGTGAGCCCAGAGCAGGCAACACGGACCACCGCAGACAGGCTGAGTGCTGGCCCAGTCTGCATGATGTAAAGATGACTAGGGCTTATTAGCCAGCTGTGCAGCAGACAAGCCCTGCCCACCAGTGTGCCCTCAACACTACAGGATGATCACTGTAGGCGGTAGGGCAGAGGGCTAGCATCATCCACCAGCACGCCAGCATCCGTCATAGCTCAACCTCAACAAATTCTGGTGACCAGAGAGGGCCATATTGCAGGTAACTACAGGACACGTTCCACACAAGGCCACTACTTTCAAGACCAAGAGAAGCAGCTGACTTAAGTAATTCATAGAAACACAAAATGAGACACAGGAATACTTTCCAAATGAAAGAAGGCAAAACCACAGAAAAAGAGATCAGTAATATGCCTGATAGAGTTCAAGGTAATGGTCAGAAAGATACTCACCAGACTTGAGAGAAGAGTGGCTGAACTCAGAACTAGTCAGAGGTGAAGAATGTAGTAACTAACATAAAAAATGGGCTAGAGGAAATCAGTGGATTAGAAGATACAGAAGAATCAATCAGTGATCTGGAAGACAGGGTAATGGAAAACATTCAAGCTGAACAGTAAAAATAAAAAGTGAGAATAAGTTAAAGTATCTCTGTGACTTATCAAGTGTATGAACATTTGCATTATGGGATCCCAGAAAGAGATGAGAGAAGGGGGACAGAAAGCTTATTTGAAGAAATAACAGCTGAAAACTTCCTTAATCTGGGAGGAAACTGATCTCTAGGTACAAGAAGCAAGAAGAGTCTTAAGATGAACCCAGGGAGGTCCACACCAAGATACATAACTAAAATGACAAAAATTAAAGAGAAAGTCCAACAGTTACATATATACATGGGAAACCCCATAAGGCTCATTTTCAGCAGGACTCTATAGACCAGAAGGGCATGGCATCATTAAAGCGCTGAAAGAAAAAAGCAAAACAAAACCTCTGCAACCAAGAATACTTTATCCAGCAAGATTATCACTCAGAATCGAAGGGGAAAGTGTGTCCCAGACAAAAAAAAGTTAAAGGAGTTCATCACCTCTAAACTAGCTTTACAAGAAATGTTAAAGGAGATTCTTTAAGTGGAAAGAAAAGGCCACAGTGGAAGAAAATTAGGAGAAAATTTCACAGTAAAAGCAAACATATAGTTAAGGTAGTAGATCAATCACTTAGAAACCTAGTAAGGAGGTTAAAATAAAAGTAGTAAAATCAATTTTATCTATAAAAACTAGTCAGGGGATACACAAAAAGAGGTAAAATATGACCTCATATACCTAAAACATGGAGGGGGGAATAAAACTTCAGTGCTCTTAGAGAACTTAAGAGACCATGATCTCAATATAGACTGCTATTACACAGGGTGTTATATATGAACCCCAGGGTAACAACAAAGTAAAAACCTCTAACAGATACACAAGAAGAGAAAGGAATTCAAGCAGGACACTAAAGAAAACCATCAATCACAAGGGAAGAGAAAATTACAGAAACAACCAGTAAACAACAAAATGCTAGTGTACATACCTATCAATAATTACTTTAAATGTAAATGGACTGGGGTGCCTGGATGGCTCAGTCATTAGGCATCTGCCCTTGGCTCAGGTCATGATCCCAGAGTCCTGGGATCCAACCCCTCACAGGGCTCCCTGCTCAGTGGGGAGCCTGCTTTCTCCCTCTCCCTGTGCCTGCTGCTCCCTGTACTTCTGCTCACTGTCAAATAAATAAATAAAATCTTAAATAAATGAATGAATGAATAAATGTAAATGGACTAAATGCTCCAAGGAAAAGATATAAGGTGACTGAAAGGATAAAAAAACAAGGCCCATCTATATGCTGCCTACAAGAGACATCAGACCTAAAGATGCATACAGACTGAAAGTGAAGGGATGGAGGGGTGCCTGGGTGACTCAGTCGATTAAATGTCTGCCATCAGCTCAGATCATGATCTCAGGGTCCTAGGATAGAGCCCCACATTGGGCTCCCTGCTCAGCGGGGAGTCTGCTTCTCCCTCTCCCACTGTCCCTCCCCTCTGCTTGTACATGCTCTCTCAAATGAAAAAATAAAATCTTAAAAAAAAAAAATGAAGAGATGGAAAAAGATATTCCATGCAAATGAAGCGGCGGGGGAAATGGGATACCAATACTAATTATTAGGTAAAATAGACTTAAAAAAAAAGACTGTAAGGAGACAAAAAAAGGTCATTAAATAATGGTAAAAGATCAGTTCATTAAGACTATATAATAATTACAAATACCTATGCATCCAACATAGGAGCACCATATAGATATATAAAGCAAATATTAACAGACATAAAGAGAGAAACTGACAGTAACACAGTAACAGTAAGGGGCTTTAACACATGCTTACGTCAATGGATAGATCATTCAGACAGTAAATCAAACCGTGGCTTTGAATGACACACTAGACCAGGTAGACTTAACAGATATACACAGAATTTTCCACCCCAAAACAGCAGAATGTCTATTCAAGTGCACATGGAATATTCTCCAGAACAGATCACATGGCAGACCATAAAACAAGTCTAAGAACACTGAAATCATATCAAGCATCTTTTACCACCATAACAGTATGAAACTAGAAAGAGATCAATTATAAGAAAACTGAATGAAAAACAAAATACCTGGAAGCTAAATAACAGATTACTAAGAAACCAATGGATCAAAAAAGAAACAAAGAGGAAATCAAAACATACTTGGAGACAAACGGAAATGGAAACACTACAGTTCAAAATCTTCAGCACACAGCTAAAGTATTTCCAAGAGGGAAATTTATAGTGATATAGGCCTACCTCAAGAAACAAGAACATTTTAAACAATCTAACCTTATATCTAAAGAACCAGAAAAAGAAGAACAAAGCCCAAATAAATGAAATAGAGACTAAAAAAACAACAGAGAAGATCAATGAGACCAAGAGCTGGTTCTCTGAAAAGATAAACAAAATTGGTAAAACTTCAGCCAGACTAATCAAGAAGAACTCAAAATCAGAAATGAAAGACGAGTTAAAACTGACACCATAAAAATATAAAAAATTATCATGAAAAATAAAATTTAAAAAATAAAATAAATAAATAAATAAATAAATAAAAAATTATCAACAATTACTACAAAAAACTAAAAGCCAACAAAATGCACAACCTAGAAGAGATTAATTCCTAGAAACAATCTTCCAACTGAGTCAGGAGGAAACAGAAAATCTGAACAGACCAATTACTAGTAACAAAATTGGACCAATAATAAAAAGCTCCCAATAAAGCTAGGATCAGATAGCTTCACAGATGAACTCTACCAAACATTTAAAGAAGAGTTAATACCTATCCTCAAGCTATCGCAAAAAACAGAAGAGGGAGAAATTCTTCAAAATTCATTTTACAAGGCCAGTATTACCTTGATACCAAAACAAACTACAAAACAAACAAATCTATAGGCCAATTATCCTTGATGAACATAAAAGCATAAAACTCAACAAAGTATTAGTGAACAGAATTCAAAAATACATTAAAAGGATCATTCACCATAATCAAGTCATATTTATTCCAGGGATGCAAAGATGGTTTAATACCTGCAAATCATTGATGTGATCTACATTTACAAAATGGATAAAAGTCTTATGACCACTGCAGTAGATGCAGAAAAAGAATGACAAAATTGAATATCCACTGATGATAAAAACTATCAAAGTGGGCACAAAAGGAACATCCCTCAACATAATGAAAGACATATATGATAAGCCCAAAGCTAACCTCACAATGGTAAAAAAGCTGAAAGCTCTCCCCCTAAGGTCAGAAATAAGGATGTCCAAACTTTCACTACTTTTATTCAATATTGTACCAGAGGTCCTAGGTATAGCACTCAGACAAGAAAAATAAAAGGTGCCCAAATTGGTAAGGAAGAAGTAAACCGTCACCGTTTGCAGAGACATAGACTATATATAGAAAACTCTAAAGACTCCACCAAAAAAATTATTAGAATAAATGAATTCAGTAAGTTGCAGGATACAAAATACAGAGATCTGTTGCATTCCTGTACACTAATAACAAAACAGCAGAAAGGGAAATTAAGAAAACAACCCTATGTATAACTGTATCCAAAAGAGTAAAATACTGAGGTGCCTGTTTGGCTCAGAAGAACATGTGACTCTTGATCTTGAGGTTGTGAGTTTGAGCACCACACTGGGTGTAGAGCTTTCTTAAAAACATTAATAAAATTTAAAAAAAAAAAAACTGATGAATGAAACTGAGGACAATACAAATGGAAAGATATCCTGTGCTCAAGGATTAGAAGATTTAATATTGTTAAAATGTTAAAACAGACTCAAAGATGACAAACTAGTGGTTGGACAAACTAGTGGTTGCCAGAGGGGAGGGAGATGAGAGGTTAGACAAAATAGGTGAAAGGGATTAAGAAGTACAAATTTCCAAACTTATTAAAATAAGTGAAGAAAATGAAAAACTACAGCATAGAGAACATATTCATTAATACTGTAGTAACATAGTACAGTGACAGATGATAACTATACTTATCATAGTGAGCACTCTGTAATGTATATAATTGAATTACTGTGTTGTAACTCTGAAACTACTATGTCAACTACACATCAATTAAAAAATTTAAAAAAGCCTGGGGGGGGGAAGAGTAGAGACTAAAATTTTAGCTATGGAGAAAAAAAAAAATCAAGGAATTAAACTAATATGCTTTTAAAAAGAAAATAGCATTAAGTAGTAAAATAGCATAAAAAGAAAAAGGCATTATAGGTATCCTAACTGCAAGTTGTCATGAAGTGGTAAAAATGGTTCAGGTGGCAGAATCCAAGGGAATTTCAGGCGGTTCAGAGTTGAAAAAGTATTTTATATATCTTATTTAGATAATAACGATTGTTGATACAATTTTGCAAACACAGGGAAATATATAGAAACACATATAAATGTATGCTTTTTAAACAAGTCAGTAATGCCAGTGAACTTTTTAAGATCATTCTCTTTTAGAAGATGCCAGTAAGATTTTAATGATTTGATGGCAAATTACTGTTGTCTATGGCCAATCTTGTTTTCAAATTAAGATTCCTATGAGGAGGCAACAAACACTATGATGCTTTGATTACAGACCTATATTCACAAATTTATTCACACATGCCAGATGCTGCTTCACCTGAATGATTTACTCGTCAAAGTGTGAAAAAAAGACATGTGGACAGTTTTAAAAGGTTACTTTAAATTATGCTGAGGTCCTACAGTCTAAAAGAAAATACCATCTATCTCTAAAGGTCTACAGGGAGGAGGTGGAATAAAGGTGGTGGTCAACTTTACATAGTTGTCAAAATACCGGCCTTCATTTAAAAGTACTGTGAATTCCTCAATTATAGCTGTATTTATTTTTTTTTAATTAGCATATCAAAAAAATCATATCTGTCCACTCCTTTAGTAGATTAAACAATTAAGATCAGTAACTGCTACCCACTATTTAATGAGTTTTGAAAGTTTACAGGTATTTCCTTGTATTTGGCACCTAACACCATGTTCCTATACTCCCTGGGGGGAATGAAGGGTGGGCACAGAGGGTAGTGGTGGTTACATAAGGGGAAGAACATCTAATAATCTGTTCAGGCATTATTTTCACTTAATGTTATAGAGTCACTGAGCCAGAAAAGACCTAAATGCCTTACCAAATCCATTCTCTTGCTTTCAGAGATGAATGTGAGTCATCCAGGACAGGACAGATGGTTGCTATCAGGATGAGTCTGTGCTGAAAAACAAAATCTTAAAACATCTGGAATTGGTTGAAAAATACATACTCAATAGTTCGTATTAACTATGTGTGAAATGGATTTCAAGTTGTTGGTATTTTTTTAGATAAATATTGTTTATATGTTATATCAAAGAAAATTACCACAATCTGATAATGGAATTTTACAAATAATATGACCTTCCACTGATGTGAAAATCACGTAAAGATCTGCCATTGTTTACAGTGGAACTAACAAAGCTATACTTTATAGACTACGGAATTCTATAAATGACATTATGTAGCCTGACACTTATACTGACTAATTTTACTTGTTACTGATTTTACTTATTAGGTTTTACCAAACCTTACTTGGCAACATTCTATATGTTCAAATCTTATTTTATTTCCACTTTAAGATCTCTGCTTTGCAGATATAAAGACTGGTTGTTTTTTAGAGAGTTC